GTAAATGGATAATTACGGAAATGGCATAATAAGATAAACGACGGAAATCTTGAAGTAAGTTTAAAGTGTGAATAATGTTCCTCCAGTCTGGTTCAGTTTATGTTACAAGGAAATGAAAAAAGGGATTAAATATTACGTTTAGTTTTGGCACGCGTGACACATAACTAAACTAATACAAATATGGACAGACTTTATAAGACGTAAGACTATTAACCTAAAACATAAAAAACATTTTTCATTCAATGTTTAGTTGAGAACTAAGCGAAATAAATGTTAAAGGGAATTGGTTCATTATAAAAGGTCTGTAGAACGATAAATAAGTATTATGATTGTATATATCATTCGTGACAACAAATCACGAAGAAATTGTATATGTATGAGCTATTTGATTTGATATTTCATATCTATATATAACAGATCGCAAAAATATCTTTTTTTTCTACGATTAATTTATGCTCTTCCTTCATTGTGTAAGATATCGTGACTAAAAATAAAAATTTCAAAGTTTGACATTTTCTCATTATTTTTTGTCACCTTTTACCTCGAAAACTTATGTAGATGGATATTCAAAATAATAAAAGGTACGTTCCGTGCTGTAGATTCAGCTATAATTCTACAAGAAAAGACACATATTCACTGGGAATCAGAAAGGACGCCTTGGTTCGTAACAATCATTTAGTTCAGCTTCTTCTTTCCTTTTTTTGGCTTTGTAATGGTCAAATGTTGAATAAAACCTGGATAAAGTGTAATCCTCGGAAGCATTAATCGCAAGAAAATTACATGAAAATTGTAGACTCGGTTTTGATTGAGTCTATACAAGAGGAATGATGAGTAGGTGCAACATCCCTCACGCCCTCTAGCACCTGCTTGTGGCCATACTCAATTTTCAACGCTTAAATTTCTGGAATGACCTCTAAGAACCGGTTAATGCATAACATAACTGGTGCTTAGGAGCGTGGACGGTAGCTCGCACTTATCACTTCCATTCACGAACAGGTTAAGTCGGAACGAGTCTGCAACACTATTTTTTTTCAATCTTGTGCATCAAAGGGTTATCTTCTGTTTAAATTATATTTGTGCAGTACATTCATTTACATTGTCTGATTAGATTTGATAGAGAACATTGATTCTATAATGTCATTCACATCTGTTTGCAAATATGACTTTATAGTACTTTTCGGTAAACTGACATTCACTTAGATTGCATAAAATTATATCATATCTTATAGGTTTTTCTAAGTTTCGTATTTATTTCGACTCGGTTCCATGTTTGAAAAACGTATTGTAACGCAGCATGTTATTCTATGACATTTTCATAGAACAATCTTGAAACTAGACAACACAAGTCATTTTTAATCAAAGAATACATATACAATATGAATCCACGTCAGTTCAGAGGTTGCCGTGATATACCTCCCCCAAAAGAATGTACCAAAATTAAGTGGGGTTGAATTAGACAAAACATTAATCTTCCATATTGCTTTGTTTTCATACGATTTGTGTTTTCTTGTCACGCAAATAAAAAAAAGTGAATAATATTAAAAATATCTCATTAAAATGAGCTTGCCACCCTTTTCAGTCATTTTCTCTTTTTGTCTCTTTATCAGCGAATTCATAGAAAATAAATCTCTTTCGATTATAATGAGTTTTTATTTTTTCATCTTTTAAACGTTGTTTCTCTCCTTACTTTTGACAAACGTCATGTTACGCGATGTGTGGGCATCTTGAATATGTTTTTTTTTGTTGTTTTGTTTCATTTTACACCTTTTCCCAACAGTATTTTAGTCATATAGGCGGGTAGTTTCCTAACCATTGTTCCCGGAGAGTTACACCAGTACTAGACTACCTTCCTCCTTGCTAAATTACCAAAGCATCTCCCGGGGATCGAACCCACGCCAGAGAGGTTACTGGATTAGAAGTCATCGATTCTAACCCCTCGACCACGGAGGCGGTCTAAATATGTTTTAATTACTAGTAAAACAAATATTTTCTCCACCTTCATGATAAAAGTTGAGATAGTGAAAAGTTACTGTTATAAAGAATAAGATGTATGTAATTTTATCGTGTGGCATATTAATGTAATGAATGAATATTAAAATATGTTGGTCACTATGTGTTGAGTATCGTCGCATTTCAAAATGTTTTATATTATGGCTCATAATTTATATTTTTAGATCAATTTTGTCTTTCGCATTTGAAAGAGATGTGATATGAGCCGCGTCATGACAAAACCAACATAGTGCGTTTGCGACCAGCATGGATCCAGACCAGCCTACGCATCCGCGCAGTCTGATAAGGATCCATGCTGTTCGCTATCAATTTCTCTACTTGTTAAAAGGTTTAAAAGCGAACAGCATAGATACAGATCAGACTGCGCGGATGCGCAGGCTGGTCTGGATCCATGCTGGTCGCAAACCCATTATGTTGGTTTTGTCATGACGCGGCTCATATATAGTACGTAGCAAAATCTGAACCCAGTGACAGAACTGTTTGAATAACCCTCAACATGTTGTCATTGAACAAAGGGTCTTGGTTTAGTCAATGAGCAAAGGGTATGTTTGTATCGGTCAATGAAAACAAGTCGTGTTTTAATTATTTAATGAGAAACGTTTAAGCCTTTTTACTTGTTTTGAATGTTGCCCATGAACATGGGGTTAAGTTTTATTCATTTTGTGAGCGTGATCATCCGTGTTCAATTAGGTTACAGGTCAATTAAGAAAATGTGAGAGGAGTGTGTTATCCATAAAAAAAAAATGCCGCATCTTTGATTCATTTGAAGTGTTCTTGTTCATATCAGTCTGAACCAGTATTTCCTGAGAGAAATAATGAGAAATGTAACATTAAACTGGTTTCGTAATATTCCTTTTCACCTTTCTATGACATCTGATAAACTAAATGCTACCAGACGAAAGGGGGTGTCATTTTATGTTCCCGTTAAAGGACAAATATCAATTTCACCGCGTGCATTAATTCATTAAACGTAATTACAACAATGCTATATTTGTAGTTTATCTGTTTTAAACATCTTCACGAAATCAATGAAATGTACTATAAATAATATAATGGAATTTTAAATACTATTACATTTTCTATTTTACTCTTGATACTGATACAAGTGATAAATATAGAAATAGAAGAAGGAAATCAACACCCCCGTCACAACAACAACAACAACAACAACAAAAAGGGAGGTACTAATACAAATACAAAGAAGGAACCGACAAACAAATGTGATGGTGATCTAAAACATTTTCCGAATTCTCCTACCCGACTAGCATTACGCTGCCTTTTCTGACGTTTTAACCGCCTCCGTGGTCGAGGGGTTAGAGTCGATGACTTCTAATCCAGTTACCTCTCTGGCGTGGGTTCGATCCCCGGGAGATGCTTTGGTAGTTTAGCGCGGAGGAAGGTAGTCTAGTACTGGTGTAACTCTCCAGGAACGATGGTTAGGAAACTACCCGCCTATATGACTGAAATACTGTTGGGAAAAGGCGTAAAATGAAACAAACAAACAAAACAAAATTCTGACGCGTTCATGATACTTTGATACAAATTATTAACACTTATAGCTGATAGTTCCATGCAATATGTCTTTAAAATATGGATGAAACATATATGAATATGTAAAAATATTCTATTTTCATTTTCAGTCATGCAATTATATTCATTGTCTTTAATTTCAATGTTCATGACAGATAAGAGAAAGTTAAAGATCTCTCACACACTAATGATAAAACTATGACGTTTTAACATTTGTGAGTGCTATTACCTTTGTTTCTATTCAGTTTACACAAAATCATTGTATCACATTTCGGCGACAGGTTTTCACAATGCTGCATTAATAGAGCACACGTCCTGTTTATTTTTAAATTCCTACGTGACTAGATATATTAGGTAGTTTAAGATAGAGCCTACATTTTTGTTTCATGTAAACGGCATCGTACGAAGTATAATAGGTTTTAAACGTGTTTAAAATTTAGTGGTATATGACCTGTTATGCGTCTGATTATTTAGATTTGCAAGCGTTGTGATTTCCCTCTGGTCTATTTATTTTACCATCAAACACTATAATCAGTCTCTGACTAAATAGAATCCCTATTTTTAATGGTCGACATAATTTAATATTCCTTTTATGACTGGATTTTTATTTTTCGATTTACTGCTCGATTTGAATCAATATTGTAACAGACAGGGAACATTACGAAATATATCCTATTTTAAAAAACTGGTTTTATTAATCAATGCAATAATTAAGATAAAAAGTATTAAATAATATATACAGGTATGATTAAACAGGTGTAAATATACCTACGAAAGGTCTTGAAACCGAATGCAAAATCAGTTTTTCATTTTTTTTTATTATCTATTGATTTTTTTTTTTTAATACATCTGATTTGCCTTTTAAGTTTGAGTTTAATAGTAATAATTAAAGATAATAGTTAAAATAACCTGCTAAAAAATATTCCTATTATATATGACATTTTCTAAAAATGTTCTTAATTTATTTAAATCTATACAAATACATTATTTATGTCGATGATATAAGTATTTAATTACCTCCCTTTACGCATAATTTTGATTGTTACATTTATATAGTACATTATTCGTAATGTATTCATATGCTTTTTCATTATTTCATATAACATAAATTGATTTTGAGCATAATACCATATTTTGAATAGATAATAGATAGATCATTTTCATTTTATTTGATAGCTTTATAAAATATACTGATTGAAAACGATGTTTCTAAATTATTATCTCCCTTTTTTACAATTTTCAACATGTGATTAAAGCACATTTTTTTCGAATTCTAAACTTTCACATAAGTAACTGTTGTTTTCATACTTGTTGTAATTATTTACTAGCCTAGTTTCTCTATGAAAATATATATCTATGTATCTTTTGATCCAGTTATTTTATGTAATTCTTTTCGAAAATTATATATGCTATGTTTTTTTAAAAAAAAAAAATTACGTTTATACATACATATGCACATGTTTTATTGTAATACTTATTGTAATATTATCACGTTCCTTTTACGCGCCAAATGTAACGTCTATTAACGTAGACGTTTGTTTTGTACGTTTACGTCATTTTTATATATGTATCAACTGAGGAAGCTTAATAAAGCGAAACATGTTTTGATACTTAATTTGTGTTGGTTTTTGATCCAATTATCCTAATTACATTTTCTACACAATTTTAAAGTGTTTTTATCGTATTTAATCCGGTATCGATTATACGGTCTAATTACCCGGGAGAAATCTACCTCGGGACCGTATTTTGTACATGTCTTAACCGGATCGTATCGATCTGGTATTTGTTTACACTATCAACTTAACACCGCTTTAAAAAGGTCGTATTTTATCGCTACAATATAAAACAGTTATTGGATGAATATTTGCTACATTTAAGGTAAGATTTCGTTATTTTTTATATTTTGATCCACAGTGTATGATTTCTTTAATCTTTTTATTTTTATATTCATTCATTTATTGATTGAGAAATCTTAAATGTTCACTATAGTTAACAGCTTATTTTTACCAGTCTCGTATAATGTATGGACATTAAAGAAAACTAAAGTAAATGTTCGATGGAAAAATGGTGTGCTAATTTCATAACCAAACATCGGTATATCAATTGAACTTGAAATAAATAACATTTTATTTGTTCCTGGCATATCATAAATTCTTAAGAAATTGTTATTAAAGCTTAAGAAAACAGTATACAAAGAGCAACACAATTACAAAATTAAACATATTCTTAAGAATTTATTAAAAGACAGGAACAAGTAAAAGTCGTATTTATTCCTAAAAATTCAACATTTAAGGTATGTAGGAAACACTGGGCTGCTTTTTCAGGTCATTCAGCTTGGTGTCTTAATGTCATAAGTTTTATTATGTGTTGAGGTTTTCATTGTGTACATAGACAAACAGTGAATCATTTTATAGTATACGAGCCTTATTAAGTTTAAATTATTCATTGGTTTATCAAGTTTAAACTGCACTTAAAGTCACACGGGTTATCGCGATGCTTCATTCTTCTATTCAATCCATTCCGCTAATATTCTATCAATAAAATGGTGATGTGTCAGATACCGGACATTTATTTCAAAAATACAAATGATTGAAGTGACTTTATGCTCATTTTTTCCTGATAAAGTTGAGATGAACTTGCTACATATTTCAGTGATTGACTTTTAAAATGGTGACTGACCAATAGTTAAGTAACATAAAATATAAATTTGCCTAAACCCCCCCCCCCCCCAAAAAAAAAATACTGCCCAACTCTTTTTATAAACTGAAGGTAACAGGTAAATTTTGGTGGAGATTTACCCACTCTGTACCCTTGGATAAGCATAATGTCACTTTAAAATACATTTAGTAAATACTTCAAAACAATATAAAATAAACTTTTTATTTAAAAAAAAAAAAGAAATAATAATTCTTCAAATAGGTCATTTTAAATATATTTTCATGTATGACAAATAAGGACGAAAAAAAACTTGTTTAAAAATACACCTCTTTAAAGTAAACAGTCTCCAACACCCTATCTGAATGACCATTTGACCATCTTATTGTAAATTTTTAAACTTGTTGGCAAGTTTGAGATACATGATCCGATTACATATATTTATTTTGCAGATAGAATAAAAAATAATATAATATTATTCATTAGCTAAATAGACATTAAAAATCACTCCTAATTTCAAACAGTATATTATAAGAAAATCCCAATGATACATTTCTATTGTTTTTATCAATATTTGACATATAAATAGAAAATGTGCCCCATTGTAAAACCTATCCACTTTAAAAAGTAATAGGCAATTTTGATAGAAATGTGATATTTAAATCTATTCGAATCAGTTCAAAAATGATTAGAATATATAAAATATTAAAGGGAACTGGTCTATAATGGAAGTTCTGTTATACATTACGTTGATAGTATTTAGTCGTAAACATAATAATAAACCATTTGATAATATTTGACTTTTCATCTTGTTTTTTTCTTCTAAAATTTGTCACTTATATTGGCTCATTTGCTCAATTCTAACTTACTTAAATGACATAAATTCATTACCAATCATTCCCCAAAAACCAAACTACAGTTCGACTATTTTAACAACTACAGTGAGATCAGGATGGCAACCTGTGGATGGATCGTACATCTTAATTAAAATTGTACATTAAATTTTAATGAATAAATGAACTGTTCAAAAATAAAATACATATTGCATGTTAAAAGTAATCATTGTTGCCTTAATAGTATTTTCTTCTGTAATATATGTTTCTGGGAAGGGCTTAATCTAATGATGTAAGAACTTGTTGCCCAACCCATTTGCATTTTGATATATACTCATTATTTGTATGATATGTTTGTAAACATGTATTGAATGCAATAAAATATTTTTAAACAAAAAACTATTCAAAATGTGTTTTTCTTTAAATATAAGTAATGAATACACATTTTTACAGGTTTTAATAGAATCTATTGTTTATGACATTCCCATTTTGTTTCAGCATAACGCATTTAATATTTCTGAACAGAAATGTTATGACGTCATCAAGATGGCTGCTGGCTTAGAAATTCATGACGCGGCGTCCACCGGTGACTATGATACCCTAGAAGAGTATCTAAAAAGTGGAAAAGTTGACGTCAATTTAAAAGATTGTGAATGGGGTAATAGAACGGCATTGCACTGGGCATGCGCTAAAGGTACCACTGTTAATTGTTATGGTAGTTATTTTAAATATATACATCCAGAAATCCTTGGATTTAGGCGTTGATATTTTTTGCTTATTCATAATATACGCGCTATTTCATACTCGATCATCATAGATAACACAACATCTTTGGTTTTGATAGTGTCGATTTGCCAAACAGAAGCACATAAATAAAGTCGACAGACTGGAACCCAGGCTAACATCAAGGTTTTACAGTCGCTTAACTTTTTGGAATTAAGGTTAAACGAAAAACTTACTACTGTTTAACATCTTTTTATCTCAGGCACCACCAACCTTTGTAAACTAGCTAGACCATTCTGTTCACGAATCCAAATTATAGATCAATTCATTCTATTGGTTATGAATATTATAATTATATTTATCATTTATATTCAAATTATATTCATATAGAATATATTGTAGACAACATTCTGTATAGAATTTTTGTTATTGTGGAGTTCTGTTGATCTGCAACTAGTTGTTTGTAGAATCTGTTTTATGTGCTTTAAGATGAAATTATTCATAAGCGAATTATGCAAACAATGTAGCTTGTAACAATGTAACAAAGTACATCCTTTATTGCCTTGTACAATAGGTTACCGGCAAAAAGCATGTATTCTGTAAAAACCCAATACAGAATAACTATGATTATCAAAAAACGTGAGATTTTTATGAATATACTTTTCAGGATTTGTAGAATGCATACGACTTTTACTTGATTACGGAGCAATCGGAACTTCTCGCACCGAAACAGGATCAACACCGGCACACTTTGCGGCAGAGAACGGAAAACTGACGGCTTTACGAGCTTTATACAATGCAAATATTCCCATTGGTTTAAAAGACAAATATGGCGACACGCCAAAACGAATAGCAGAAGTTTATGGGCATAATGACATAGTAAAATTTCTTGATCAGTAAGTTCTTTTTAAACATAAATTTGTAAATAATAATGAATAGAACTAGATATAGAATTTACCTATTAGGACAAACCGTGACGTCAAAAGTCACCATATTTTATCGTTTTGTACTGAAATGTTTATGCATTAGATGTTTGCCAAAAATATGCATCATAGTACTTCTATTACATTTGCAAAACTTGAAATGTGTCTGTATAATGTAGATAAGAACAGTATGGAATACTTTACTAAATGGAAAGTGGAATATTTTGACGTCACGGCTATATGTTTTATCGAATTAGTTTTTCAGTCAGTCAAATATTTCATATTTTAACTGCCTTCTTCAGATGTGCCGCCGACGAAGCGGCAGGAATTAGACCTACGGGTTTAGCGCCAAAGTTTACATCAGCGTTCCGACATAGACGATCTCAGCGTTTGTCTACGACGTCACACCATTCATTTTCATCTACCGGTTCCCGGCCAGCGTCACCATTTTCTAGTATCGGGAGGTAAACACAACAGCATGGAACCAAACCTCAATAACCATATAATTTAACATGTCTGAATTGTTTCTAACATTTCTTTTCAGGAACTTGCAAACCAGCTGCATTGGACGAAGCATGTGTTCTTCTAAACACTTACCAATCATAACCTCATACATTAGATAGTTAAGATTTTCTTAAACTCGCTGAACATGTTCTGTGAACATTTCTATCCCTGCTTAGAACAGCTCCGAGTCTGTAATAATTTATATATAAAAGAAATAAATCTATTGTTTTACTAACTGCCATCAAAACTGAACTTACCAAAACATGTTTAAAACCCTTCATAATATGTATGTAAGGAAAACGTGCCAAATGAATTAAAGCAGCAAGATTGTTTTAGTATTATAAAGTAAAATTAAATTGGGTCATTTTTTGGCCTATATTTTGTAAGTTCTTATGTAATTCCAGACGTTCATAACAGTAAAAATATCTTCCTGATTTTTTGTTACATCGATGTTCTTCCTTTGTCAATCTGAAAAAATGCAATTTCAGCAAATACTTGGAAACAATTTTTACAAATTATGCAAAAGGCTTTTTAGGAAACAGCAAACCAAACAACTGCTACCGGAACTTGCTTTTTGAAAATCTAAATATAGCAACATGGCTTCAATAGAGCTGATTTCCAAGCTTGAATAATTTTATAACACTTAAGTCCAATAATGTTCACCACTTGCACGAGTTAATTTGACTCATTCATAATTTAAAACCACTTGCACAAGTTCATTTGACTTATTCATGTTTGAATATCATACTATGCATTTCAATTATTTGTATAATTTCGTAATTTGCTGATATATTATTTTCAAAATTATCCACTTTTTCAAATACATAAGTTTCTCTTGATTAATGCTCTAGAATGTGCCTTTATCAAGATTATTTGCAGACATAAATCCCTATTGTTAATTAGTCCAACCTTTACAAATACAAACGTCTAGTCCTTTTTACGAGACTGTATCAATTTTGAAACTAACATAGATTTTTTTTGCACAACTTTCCCGCTCTACACATACATGTACATTTTATATAATATATCTGTGTGAGAAATAAAATATACTCAGTGTATGAAGTAATCTTAGTTATACGGTTGTTTGTATACACTTAAAATATCTTTTATTCCAAATTTCAAAAATATACTTTATTATTGCCCATTATTGTTTCTATACTGCGTCATTCGATTTGTGAAAAAAGTGCGGTATATATGATTGTCACATCATAAAGGGTAGCTAAGTAGGCTGATTATAATGGGAAACTGTCATTTGTTGAGATTGAAATAATCTAACTGCAGAATATATTTCTTTATACTCTTTTTAATTTTTGTTTTTTATATTTGTGTGATGTATTTTGAAAATATTTGAAATGACTAAATTCTACCGTTTATATTGAACAGGGGGGCCTTTAATACTGGGGGATCTTAGGCTTTAATCATTTATGTCTTGATTTTGGGTGTGGTTGCCGATTTCGAATGGTACGCCCTACTGTTGATCTTTACTATCATAGTTTAGGAATAAATTGTAAGTAACATGTGCTTGTCATTCAATGGTCAGTAACATTTTTATTTTTTCCATATATAGCGCAGAAGAAGAGCAGAAAGTAAAAGGAATAGACAATGATACAGAATTTGTTCCCGACTCGGAGAGGGAGACGTGATATTCTTCGGACAATATTCACCAAATCAGTCAACCATTTGCCGACATTTTTTAACAATAATTCGAGATTTTTTTATTTCATTTTTTGTTTGCTTGATTGTAGATGTATGTTTTAAAATTTTATTCAATTCAAATGAACTTTGATTTACGGATCATGATTTGCATTTTATTTATGCAATTCTGATGTTCTCATAGTTTCATACTAGTCACTTGCTAGAATATATATGAGGTTGTAAATGTATAGCATTTAATTTAAATGTGTACAATTAAAATAGATAATAAAAACAGTGAGAATTGTTAGTTTTCTTGTTATCTTCAACATAATATATCTTCATGTCTTTTTATGGGTGTAATGTTGTAACTGAAGAAATGTACATATAATTTTGAAAAAGTAACTGCAGGTTGTTATATTATTATGCATGTTGCTGAAGTCTGATCTCATGACCTATCAAATTTGTATCATGGACTTTTGTTTGCTCTGAATTCGAAAAAGTCCATTCAAAATTTAAAGTGTATTTTTTTAAAGAAAACTTCCAAAATGTGTGTTTGAATAAAATATGATAAAATATTGCCTTAAAAGCGGAAAACGCATGCACGAAATAATTGCCGAACGGTTAAAACCCTATTTAGAATAGCATCCTAATATTTTGTTTCGGAACAGTTTATTCTGTTTACATATATTCATGTTCATTAAATAACAGAGACATTCTATGTTGCAACTTTTTCTAGAATCAAAACATTATGGAAATAATATGATTTTGCTGTTGATAAGTTTATGCCACAAGATATAGCTTCATACCCTTTAAGGGATTTCCATATCAAAATTATATACACAAGCCCATGGTCATCTTTTTATCCCTGAGGAAATTCTGACAAGGTTAATGTAAATTGTAAAGATTGTATGAGCTATATGAATGCTTGAACTACTTCTTGTATTCGTTAACCCGCCAATATGTTACTATTTAAAACACTATTTTTTCACACAAAAAAAGAGCACTAATATGTAGCTCCAATTTGACAGAATGGTCAAGATTATAATAAAAACAAACGAGAAGTTTGAGTGAATGCATCTATTTTGAAATTATCCCTCCTTACTTTTTATAATCACAAAGTATAGTTAAATCGGAAATATTAAATATAAGTATTGATTTGTAATAAATGTTCTTATCAAAGAAATTTAATAAAGAAGAAAAATATTTGAAGAACTCTGCTGAAAATACATTATAGTATACAAAAGATAGACCATATGAATGTGGTTTTCATCATTGTAAAGTATAACTTTAAAAAATAAATATTTATTTATCACTTATTGGCCAAAGAACTGCGTCTTTTTCGGACAAAAAACGTAAAACGATTATCAAAAAAGTTAAAGCGATGGGAACATTTTCTTGAGAGCAATAAAAACAAAAATACCCAATTGAAAAGTGAAGAATCGAGGTTCTTCCTAAGAGGCAAAGTAAAAAACAATATCATGCTGGCTGGCACCGCCTTAATCAGATACTAAAGACAATGGAATCTATTATACCGATTGACCTAATGCCATGTAAATTTCAATTTATTGTAAGAATATAGTTATATCTTGTTTTTTTTTTTTTAAATTAATGAATGTTATATTATTTTATATAATTCCGAGAAAGAAAAATGAACGTAAAAACAATTAAAAGCGACGTTTATTTAGAAAATGTAAATAATCTGAAACAGTTCTTTGAGGACAGAGCTGTTGGAACCTACACATTCTTAAGACATTAATTAGAATCTCAATCAGATATTCTAAATAAATTTATGTTACATTTCATATCATTCGGTCTACATATTTTAGCAATAAAATAGAGGAAAATAAATTGGCACCACATTTGCTTGTCGCATATCTTTATACTAATAAAATGAATGATAAAAAGAGTAAAAATGTAAAAAAATAAAAAAGTGAAACCCCAAAGATATTAAATACTTTCAGCAGAGTTCGTGTCATGTTAAACATTATTTGTAAGAATTCTCATTTTAATGTAACAACTGGTTATAATAAAATTCCGAACAACTTTTAACAGCAATAAAAATATGATCAAACAAAAAAGCAATTATATGTACAAAAGAAGAGTTAGTTGTTTATAATAAGGAAAAAGTTTCAGTTTTAAAAATATATTTTTAAATAACAAATAACGTTTTAACAATATAATTTAACGTATTTAATATAAAGAACAAATAATCTCGTTATGTTATTGTCAAATATTAAAATTCTGATAGGTATTCTAAAAGTTTCTTCCATATGGTATCAAATCTTTCCTAGATGAACTTCCGTTTCAGTCATTTCCGTTTATTCCATTTCCGGTTAACTTTCTTCTGCCTATCCACTTCTGTGTCCGATCAAAGAGGGATAAATCATCGTCGAATAAGTGATTGATAATGGAACTAAACGGTAGCTAAAATGTCACAGAAATTTTAAGCGCAGCAGCCAAAACGCGCAATGGCCTAAAAAGATGTTCCCATTTATACCTCGATCTGATCTGCTGCAAGATAAATTCTTGCGCGTGGACCAAATCGATTTCCCCGCATACAGGCACTTGCTAACCTTCGCATGCGTCCGCATTAGACGTTTCCATTCCTATTAGAATATTCCTATAAAATCCACTTTGAGGGAACAGGAAAAAGTACATTGAAAAGGAATTGTGCATGCAGTGTCATAGTGAGAAAGTAATTAATAAATAATGCTAAAAAGGAATGTATGTTGATTTTTTTCTCGTTACCAAGTTTGCCTGATCGATTTCTAGAATTCAAATTTAATGTTTCTTTCAGATTTGTTATGGAGACTTGATAGTTTTCAGTCTTTCGATTATTATGTTCAATTTGAAGTAAAAAATTACAGCCTTGTTGCCACTTTTAGGCTCTTGTTCAATTCACAAAAAAATCTGCGTAAAATAATACTTTCCAAGACAAATTTCAGCACTTCATTACTTGGTTTTCAAGGCGTTATAAACGTGTTTGATTTTTATGTTTTATATTTTCTACTTTGTCCAGTGGGTTTCATCAAAGCCCTTACATAAAACTGGACCAAGAGTTATCCATCCTTCTTCGTAATCAACTTTACCTGAAAAGAACTTTTTATGCAGCTTTCTCTTTGATCTTATTTCCCATACGTCCCTATTACAGTGTGTTTACACACTGAGAGATAGTTATAGATTATATGCTGTTTTGAATATTTGCTAAGTGTGTAAACACATACACATATACACATACATAAACATGCAAACGCACCATGCATATGGATTGTAGTGATTTAAGAAATAGAGATCCAAGTTATAAAAGTAAGGTAGCGGAAATTGTGTGATATACTCCCGGGGATAAACCTAGTGGCAAAGCAACGGTCCCAATTGGAATATGCCAGCTTCGTTGGGGGCACCTGTCAATATTCAAAATAATAAAACATTTTATATCAAAAAGAAAACGTCTACATTCGTAATTTTGGCTTTAATGTATGTGAAAGATTGGAATATAACGGAAAGAAATATATCTAAAATCAGAAATTTCTCAAATATAATAATAACTGATCATTGTTGTAGTTGTAAGTGTTATGTTTTACAAATGTTTAAAGACGAATTCATGTGTATCGGACTGCTCTCCACTATTGACAAACTTACCAATCATTATGAAGTTGTTGCCGAAAGACCAAACATTTCGAAAGTACTATTTGCAAGATAAAAAGAATTTAAATCACAAGATCTTGAATCTTGTTATGCTGCAAAAAAGGTATTTTTTTCAATAAATTTTAGATAATTCAATCTTCATATACATCAAAGCCTTTTAAATACTTACCAAATCTTCTGAAATTTATAAATCTTAAACATGACATACAAAAAAGTAGGTAAACCAAATAAGGGGAGAAATTGGATTTAAACACACTTGTGAAATACGTAAAACATTTCGCACGCATGTGAAATATTGTAAAAATAAGGGTAAAATGGGTAAAAATGGGTAACCAGGTAAAAATAAAAAGGGGATTCAGTTGCACACCACGCCGTGCTTGATCAATTGTTCAAGATAAATAATTACACCAAATGTTTGTCAGGTTGTATCGATGACGTCACACTCGATTTTGATTGGATAATATCATTGAGATTTGAATTTTCCAGTGTTTCAAGTCGACGTAGATGATCACATCAATGATTAGCTATTCCTGAGCATAGAAGAGGACCGAGTGTCATGTAACCATCCTCGATATCTCCACCTTAGAAAATTAACAAATTATTAATATTGCTATTCTTTTAACTTCTTCATGATCATCACTTTTATCATCTTCACATACTTACTTATGATTTTTATCAATATTATAATCATCATCATCATCATCATCATCATCATCACATCACCACTGTCATGAACAACCACGACAAAACCAGGAACAGAAACGACACCGTTTTAAGTATCCTTATTATCATTATATTTGTCATTTTGTTCAACGATTTCTTGGGAAGTAATTTTACAGTTACGGAATATGATTTCCAATTGAAGGCATTATGATGTGTAAATGCCCTTTAAAGATTTTTTTCGGCTAAACGACCGAAAGTACAAATGGAAATCCCATAATATGTTTTACTTGAATTGACAGTTTGCTCAAATTTTCGCTGTGAAGTTGCACCGAATAAGCTTCGTATTTCAAAAGAATGATTATAATAATGATGATTGTCCAAGAACTGACAATGAAAAATAAATAAAACTACTTAAAACTACTTAAAACTACTTAAAACATAAAAAAGACTGCCCTACTCTTTTTATCAGTTTGACGATACTGATAAATTATCAAGGTTATTTACAGAAATTTTCTTGAAATATTTAGACATTAATTTTCACATTTACCTTTACACTCTCAGTCTACACATGGATGTGCATAATGTAACTTAAATGCATAAAGCGCGGGAAATTTCTCTTCTACATTTATCTATATATAAATATTTCAGTCTTTTAAAAAAAATAAAAAGAATTTAAAGTAAAATATTTCTTTAAAAACGTCTTCATATATCTGCAATAAATATAACTTTAAACAGTATTTAGCTCAAACATTGTCTAACCTGTATGACCCGATTGTTTACAAGCGCACATCGTGTACCAAATTGGCACGAAGAAATTATTAAAAGTAAATTACTATTGTAACATAAAAAGGACTGAAAAAAAACTGAATGATATGAACAAACTCAGTGAATGTTTTGGTTGCAAAATCCATCAATAGGTCATTAGAACAAAACAATGCTGTCATCAATATAATTTTCTTAACCGTTTCTCATTCCTTACGTCGGCACATTATTTTCCTATACATTGTATTTTATCGAATATTCAAAATATCGTGAATTATATATGAATTAACAAAATTCACTGAAAAAGATGGGTAACACAATTCATTATTTACATGAGTAAGGAAGTCAGTTTAAAAGTCAGAAATCAAAGAATATGAGTTATAAAAGAAACAATGTTGCAAAAGATATTTAGAACAGACACACTGCACTTTACTTATATTTCGGCCAAATCTTTTCGCAGACACAAGTAAAGTACTCTAGTACTGAGATATTCAGGCGGGGACCATCATTTGATCTTGCCAAAATAATGACCAATTCATCCGCTGGTCATTTATTTATATTCTCGTATATTTCTTTTTTTTCCAGTTCAAAGCTCTACACTGTGGAGTACTTAAGGTCTCGGTTCTTTGCTTACATTTACAAATGATGAAAATAAAAATTACAAACCTGTATCCCCGGCATAAAAAGAGTGAATAGGTAATTCAGCTTTATTCGTGACCCATCCTTCATCAAATCTCCATTGATCGTCATTTATATCACAGTTGCACGGCAATGACGCGTTAAAACAAGAATTTGTTTCCCCGCATGCGCAGTTATCACTTCCGGGAGTGGCGCCACCAAAATACCGCGTCATTTGCTCCGTTCGATTCTTCCAGAAAGTTGTCAATGTGTCCGGATCAAATGGATTGTGAATGATGGCTGCCTTGCAATCCCATCTCATAAATTGTGCGCATTCGCTTGACGCATCAACAATTTCAATAGCTTCACCCCACCCGGTAACATAATTCAAAATGGCTTGAAATTCTCCGGCGCCCTCATACCCTCGTACTTGAGTGACGTTTTCTTGATCATGATCTGTTAACAAAAAAAATGAGACGATATAAGAATTATCACTTTTTCAATTACATAAGTGCGCACCGAGGTGCAGACAAGGAAATTACCATATCATATTAAGCCAAGGCAATATCTTTAATTTGAATCATTTTTCTAACCCGATCTAGAAAATTTAATGATTGTTGTATAATAGATACAACACAATTAAAATACTTTGTAAGTTAAAACAATCTGAGAATATATATAAACCATGAAAGTCCCGTTCAAGTAGCAACGGACAAAGCGAGACTTACGTATAACTGTTACAGCTTTTCCTGGTTCAGTGTCAAAGTCGCACTCAACTTCCACAGGGCCATATAGCGTCCCTTCTCCGTCCGGATCTACTTCAGCCACACAACTCTGGTTTAAGCCCCTTGAAGCCCAGTCTGCACAGTGGATAGCTGATAAAGAAACAAATGAGAACCAATCACTCAAAACATAATTGTCTGTAATTCTGAAAAAAGGTTTATTTGTACTATATATTTTCACTTCTTGGATGATTTAGAAAATATCTAAACAGTTTTATTCGGTCTAATTTGTGGAAAGAAATATATTCTTATATCTTAAAGTTATTTTGATTTGCCAAGAAAGATCTGAAAAAATCTATAGACCTTTAGCAGTACCACAATGCTACAATAGTGACAGTTATGTTACGCGCATGCGTATTCCATGTATGGAAAAAAGCGATACAATGTATGTAAAAAACAAACAATTTTTATGAATCAGATTTTTTTTAAACAAAATGTTATATTTCATAGGATATATCGATAGTTCAGAAGGCAATGTTTCAAAACATTTATAGCGTTGCAATCTAGAGATGAAAATATTATATTTTGTTACGTAAACCGATTAATAATGTCCATTCTTTTGAGTATTTCATCGTCTTTTTTTCCATTCACACATTTAGAAATATTCATATCTTAACATATACAAATATTAATATATCTGGAAAAATATTTTGAAAATTGCCCATTTGTTTACCCAAAGGTTCACAACTAAATGTATGACAATCCCCGATCTCCTCTGCAGGACCTTCACAATCTGTCGTCAGATTTCCGTACGACTCCCAGTTGCATTGCCGGTACCTCTGTCTATTGCCGCCATTGCAAGTTACCGTACATAAACTCCAATATGACCACGGGAACCAGTCGCCCGGAACTAGATTAAGAAAGAGAGTTTTTAAGTATATGAGATTTTGTTACAGCGTTTCATAAATTAAAGAGCATCATACTGTATATCATAAAAAGAAGTCAATGTGTAAGTTTTCCTCATTTTTTTTTTTCAGGCGTAAAGACAAATAAAAACGTCTGTTTCGTATAAATAATTGTCATACTACAAATTAAAAAAAAAAAAAAAAGTAAAACGTCAATTACCTGTTAACCAATCACATGTAAAGAAATTAATTTACGCGGGATTAAATTAGTCCAGCAGAATTATAAAGGTCGGTTTAATATATATTTTTCTAGAGAAAAACTTTTTTGGATTATGAAACAATAGCTTTGAAATATATCTTACATTATTGTTAAAGCGTAGGCAAACATTCATAAGGCATACTACTCTAACAATTCCAAACAAGAAAAACATTAAAGCGTGCAAATCTAATTGAGAAGTACATGCAGACAAGAGAGAACGGCGAAGTGTCAATTCTGGGAAAAGCAGACACTGATTCCATCGGACATGATTTCCGAGTTTTCCGCAAAAAGGCGTCTCATCAACAGCTGTCATTTGTATAAAAGAATTCATAAAAATAAATCTTTAATACAGATAAGTTCCGATAATTAGACCACACAACTGTTGTTCTTTTTTAATACAGATAGGTTCCGATAATAAGACCACACAACTGTTGTTCTTTTTTAATACAGATAAGTTCCGATAATAAAACTACACCAACTGTTGTTCTTTTTTAATACAGATAAGTTCCGATAATTAGACCACACAACTTACACAACTGTTGTTCTCTTTTAATACGGATAGGTTCCGATAATTAAACCACACAACTGTTGTTCTTTTTTAATACAGATAAGTTCCGATAATTAGACCACACAACTGTTGTTCTTTTTTAATACAGATAGGTTCCGATAATAAAACCACACCAACTGTTGTTCTTAACAATGGTACGAGCTCAACAGTGGCCATCAAATTTTAGTAATTAATTTAGACTTTGTTACATAATTTTGAAATATTCGATGAGTAAGTGGTCTGATTAACGGATATATATAAATCATCTTAGTTTAATAAAAGTTAAAACCAGCTGCTAGGTTCTCTGAAAATGAAAATTTTTCTTTTATCTGAAAAGAAACGACAGAAAAGTACAGATAATGTTAAATCTGTAGGTCAATTTGTCGTTGAGTTGACCATTTAAATATATCTATATTTTTTTCTACACTGTAAATGATTTTAATATTCATTCCGAAAGGTCCGAAAGCCAAGACGTTACTGTATCCAATATTTATATAATTATTTTCTGATTAAACAAATATCGAATGCTCTTATTTAGGTGAACTATATCATCATTAAAACAATCATCGATTTTTTTGTATCAAAAAGTATATATAATATAATTTTGGTAAAAATAAAATCTAGCTGCGAAGTTATTTGCAAAATTATAGTTTCAAATCATATACACAGTCCGTCGTTGTTTATAGTAACAATCCTTCTTAATACACAATGAATGGGATCATATTTTTTCTTCATCTTTTCTCTAAGGCAGTTCAGGTGTTGTATTTTTTTTCATTTCCTATAGCAAAGTAGAAAATGTGCTCGTATTTCACATTTCAAATATAGAAAATTCACAATCCTTTTTCCTGTATTATTTATCAATGAAAATAAGTTAAAATCATTCTGAAACTAAACATATTTTTCCACAAAATGAATTATTATGACTAATATAAATAAAAGAGACTTACTAGGACAGGGGTCCGGGGCACACTTCCGGGAGTCTTGCTCCGATCCATCACAATTTTGACCACCGTGAAACGGTCCTTTACACTCTCGGTCTCTCACCATAGTACCCCCACCGCAGGTTGTGCTACATCCTTGCCATGCTTGCCACTCTAACCAAACTCCGTCAACTGAAAGTCAACAAAATAGATTAAAATTGTTTTACCTAAAAACAGATGAGCCGCGTCACGACGCGGATGCGCAGGCTGGTCTGGATCCATGCTGGTCGCAAACGCATTACGTTGGTTTTGTCGTGACGCGACTCAGATACTTGTTTCAAATATTTAAAGGACCACCACCAAGGTTCAAAGGCATATAAGCATAAACTTTGAAAATCCCTGAGGTTAGTCAGAAATAAGCTTATACAATTTGAATGAACTGTGAGATATCAAATACTTATCATTTTCAGTTTTAATTAATTTTTCAGGAACTAATTTTAACAAATGTTTTATATGTAAATATAAATAAATCAAATAAGAAATTAATAGAAAAAAATAGAAATATAGATAAGCATTATAATAAAATAATCATACTAAGAAATGATTAAATTAAGTTATTTAAATGTATAAACTGAAGTAGAAGTTGCAAAAGTCAAAAGTGTTCCATTTAACCTTTTCCCTTATATAAGCGTGTTTCGACGGCTTTTTGCACCCCCCCCCCCCTTTGAGGCCTCAAACAGTAAAAAAATGCCCTATTTAGGCCCCAAACACTGTTTTTCGTTTGAGAAATGTTGTTAAAAAAGTGACCATTTTTCGGTGCCGTCCCCCATCCAAATATTACATGAGGGGGTTGCCAGAAGGGGGATGTGCCCCCTTCTGTTTGGGGGGAGTCCCCCTCATCTCCAAGAAAATTTTGGACATGTGACAGGCTAAAAATGGCCTCAGGTCGATCTTAGGGTAACTAGTAACCGACGCTGAAAAGCCTTTTACTCTATCTCAATTCATTGAGAAGTTGCAGCACTTTGAAATCAGTTCTGATGGAAAAAAACAATGCAAAATAGTGATTTTTGGTAATTTTGAGACGTCCCTCGGTTGCCATGGTAACAAATTTACCATTGAGCATGCTGTTACAGAGGCTATGGTGTAGTCAACATTTGTGCCGAGTTTAATTAGTATTGAAGCATTTTTCACAGTTTCATAGCAGTTTGAACTTGTTACAGGAGGCTTTTCAATGAAAACGGCCATTTTTCGCAATATGCTCATGGGGTAAAAGTTTAATAAAAAAAAATGTCAAAAAACATCAATTTTTTACCAAATTTCGGTGTTAGGGCATGTGTTAACATGGAAAATCTAGTTTTTTGTGTAATTCCAAGGGTTTTCATCATTTTTTTATAACCTTTTCCCTGATATAAGCGTGTTTCGACGGCTTTTTGCACCCCCCCCCCCCTTTGAGGCCTCAAACAGTGAAAAAATGCCCTATTTAGGCCCCAAACACTGTTTTTCGTTTGAGAAATGTTGTTAAAAAAAGTGACCACTTTTTCGGCGCCGTCCCCCATCCAAATATTACATCAGGGGGTTGCCAGAAGGGGGATGTGCCCCCTTCTGTTTGGGGGGTTTGAAGAGAGCGGAGTCCCCCTCATTTCCAAGAAAATTTTGGACATGTGACGGGCTAAAAATGGCCTCAGGTCGATCTTAGGGTAACTAGTAACCGACGCTGAAAAGCCTTTTACTCTATCTCAATTCATTGAGAAGTTGCAGCACTTTGAAATCAGTTCTGATGGAAAAAAACAATGCAAAATAGCGATTTTTGGTAATTTTGAGACGTCCCTCGGTTGCCATGGTAACAGGAAATTTACCATTGAGCATGCTGTTACAGAGGCTATGGTGTAGTAAACATTTGTGCCAAGTTTAATTAGTATTGAAGCATTTTTCACAGTTTCATAACAGTTTGAACTTGTTACAGGAGGCTTTTCAATGAAAACGGCCATTTTTCGCAATATGCTCATGGGGTAAAAGGTTAAAGTTATCTATGGCATTTGAATTAAGTGTTCTAAATATCAAATTTTGAGAAAAAGGAATAAATGATAGAATGAAATAATAAAATAATTATAATTGTTACAAAAACTGCAAAAGAAAATACGAAGATATTCACCGTACAAAACCCTGTTTAATCTTAAAACTAATCTTGCTTTAATCTTCTTTTTCAAAACTACCCATTAAATGCATAAATTTACACTTATATCAAATATTGGATAAATTTCCATAAAAAAGATCACAACCGATGTACATTTGGTATAATGCAAAACAATTTCCTTACCAGCATTTTCGAAAAAGGCGTGACTTTGATGCGGTTTATTATAGACTTGTGTTGCGATTTTTGTTTAATGTTTGTGAATACATTAGTTCTAACAATAGATAGGCCTGCTTGTTTAAATTTTATATTTGACTCGTAACAAGTTTGTTCAGCTAAGTCATGAGCACTGTTCGATTCTGTATTAAGTATTATTTTTGTATCAAATTATTATTAACGGAGTGCACCTACCCGGACAATATTCTGTGTTACATTCCTGGGACTCATTAAATGCTCCCTGGCAATCGGCACCGTTGTGAAACGGTCCTTTGCATGTCCTATTTCTCCACTGTATTCCTCCGCCACACGTGACGTTGCACTCGTACCAAGATCCCCATTCGTTAAATACGCCATCGACTGAAAACCCGAGATCAGTAAAAAGTTGAAAAATAATGGAAATTACTTAAAGAATCCATTATGTTATATGATAACTGTTAATTACTTGTACAATATGAATGTTTACGTTAAACAAATTAAACTATCTATATATCTATCTTTCTAATAAACATAAAATCTAGTCTAAATCACATGAAATGTATACTGAATTATGTATAAAATAATAAACATATTGATTATATATATTTACAACATTTGTATATATTTACAAACAGTAACTAATTTTACTTTTATCTATAAATGCATACAATGTACTTAAATAACAAACAAGTTTTTTTATAATAAAATTATCACGTTAATATATTAAGAAATTAAAATCATTATTATTTTTTTGCTGGTGCGATAAGCTAAATATGTAAAATACCAAGAATCTTAAAAAGGTGAAATCTACAAGATCTACAAAGTGGTGAATGAATCATCAAGTAAGTGCATAGAAACTTGACTAGGGAATGCATAAGGTGCAACAACATTTTTTTTCAAACAATTTTCCCATAACTATCTCAGTACATATGATATCAAGCAGTCAAGCATGCTATTTAGAGAATCCTTTACTAAAGGGACACAACCACAGCCTCCGATAGTTTAAACCAGAAGCCATGCTTGTCTCCCTTTTGGAACTTCTTTTTCGCGGCAGCCAATCAAAAAGCTACTTTGAGAGTAGACTTTGTCATCTAATATTCTTCCTCTGGATTTAGATATATTATTTTCAAAAGCTGCTTTTTTGTAAATTCAATACGAGGAATAAATTGACGCCTTGACGTATATCTGACCCGGGCAAGGTTGTGTGTTGCAGTCCCTGCTTTCGTTAGCAGGGCCCGAGCAGTTTGCCCCTCCGTAGAAAGGTCCGGTGCAGTTCCGGTACCGTGAGTGGACAGCGCCCCCACATGTGACGCTGCATTCATCCCATTTCGTCCACGACTCCCACACTCCGTCCACTGTAACAAATTTTTAGAATAAATATGATTGAACAACATGACAAATTCTTTCACAAAATAATAAAGTGATAATTATTACTACATTAACAAAATAAAAGGGTCTAGTTCGAAATTAAAGGAGTATATTTGCTTAATATGAATCAAGAAGGACATCATTTATTTCAAGTAAACATAATTGCAATGTAATCTTTTCATTTAGTGAACCTAATATATAGACATTTATTGAACAAAAACTTTTGTCATTGACCAAATAGCAGAAAGATTTACCAGCTTAATTGCAGAGCAGAGTAAACGAAGTTTTAAAGTCTTGCTTAATATTTATACTTCGCAAATACTTTAACCATTGACCTCATAAAGATCGTCAGATACAGAAAATATGAACCATTTTACGTCTCATTTTGTATGCATTTGTAAATATACAGGTTATATTTATGGATTTCAGGTATGTAATACTTTTAAAGAGCACAAAGCTATATCTCTGTTGTCTACAGTTCACATTGTTTTCTTTGAATTGTTTAAAAATCCGATATGAATGTATGAAAGATATGTGTAGGTTAATTTCCTATTGAGCTGATGGCGCATGAATATAATCATTGCTTAGCGGTTGAAAACTAACTAAAACAAGATATGTTTGTAAAACATGTATGCCCCCTATCTGCAGCTAATTAGTTATGTGGTCAGGTTATAATGACTGACTTTTGACCTAGTGATAAAAAAATCAATAGGGGTTATCTACTGGTCATTAATAGTCACTAAGTATTTGTGACCGTAAAGGTTGTGTGCGGCAATTTTATGATAAACATATCACAAATCTTACCAAATGATATATGCATAAATTTTATGAATCATGTAGGCCTCCTTAATGACAGCCAATTTGTGATATTATATACGACCTTGAAATATGTATACCAAATGCATTTAGTTTAATAAAAAAAATCAACCAAGGCAACTTCAGGTGTTGAGTAATAGGTCCGAAACCGCTTTTACCTTCAAGGTCAATGTGACCTTGACCTTTAACCCTTTGACCCAAAAATCAATAGGGGTCATCCACTGGTCATGTACAATCATTATACCAAGTTTGAAGTTTCTAGGCCTTAGCGTTCTTTAGTTATTGATCAGAAACCTTTTGGTCTACGGACATAGTTTTAAGCAAACAAAGGCACTCGTTCGGCAGGATGGCTTGCCTCTTGTGCAATTATTTAATTAAACTTGGAAATGTGATCATCTGTAATATGTCATCGCTGACAAAACAAGTTTTTAAAAGTGTTTCTTACATAAGCATGACTAAATTCAGATAACTCTTGGACCAAGTGACGTTGTTTTAACAAACTTGGAAGAAACTATTGAAAAGGGGCCAAGTGCCATTGATTAACCATTTGAAGAGGGACCATTGTTTTAACAGCATGGTAGAAACTCTTGAAGGGTGCTAATATTTTAACAAACTTGCTAGACTCAACCCAGTAAAATAACATTTATCTAAACACATCTAAGCATTATAGAATCTGAAAAGAAGGCTTTAGATATGTCATTCTACTTCACATTAACATGATAGACAAATACTAGGGGAGGTTAAAAGCATGTAAAATCTACGACTTCAGGTTTCAAATAAAAACGTTTTAAAGAGCTCTTTTAACATTATCCTATGGAAAACTAAGTGATACAATGGCTTGCCCAATTTTGACCTAAGGTCATGATTACAACAGCATGACAGGGGTCGACCAGTTCATGTTACATTTACATGACATATATGTTCAGATATATGAGTTCTAGGCAAAGAAGTATTTTCTATTATAATATATGTCTGTGTAAAAACAACTGATCCCTGGGGTTGGGTCGATCTTGACACTGTGTCCGAGCTCATAAGCCTATGTCCCAATTGTTGCACAGATAATTTGAAACATATCAATGAGAATAAAGTCCGATACATTACCAGGGCAGTGAAAATCATTGCAAGTTTGATTTTGCTTAGCCGGCCCGTCACACGCCGCTCCGCCATAGAAAGGTCCATCACAGGTTCGATTTCGCCATTGTATTCCTTTTCCACAGGTGACGTCACATGATTCCCATGGTGACCAGAGGTTGTAAACACCGTCAACTTTTAGAAACAGAAAGTACATTTACAACAATACTGTAAAGGTGCAATATTAGTGTTATAGTATATGCGTCGGATAATTTCAACTGTAAACTTTTCTTTTAGTGGGAATGTGATGAATTGAATATTATAACTGCCACTAATTTTATGAAATCTTAACTTTTTTCTGATAATACAATGATGTCAGTTATATAAAATAAGAGAGTATGTCTAGATTAAGGCAATTGTTATGCACACAAATAACAAATAATTAGTCATAATATTTTAATCCGTCAAGTACAGGGTAGGTATTTTGGTTATAAAAATAGCACATTTTGTCATTTTGCATAATACATTAAAAATGAACAAGATTTATGAATATTAACACTCTTCTCAAACTACAAATATATAAAGTTTGGTTTTTCTAGGATTATTATCATTCATCTAAAGCCGTACCGCTTCAGTTTATTTCTTTATATACTATATAAGTATTTAATGACAACTGACAATAAGTTTTGCACATGGTCGTAGAAGATGGGAGGATTTATAGCTTTCATTTCGTCCGATCCTAATATGTAATTAAATGCATACATTTTATTCTATTTTTACAAATAGATCTTTTATAAATTAAGCCGTGTCATGGCAAAACCAACATAATGGGTTTGCGACCAGCATGGATCCAGACCAGCCTGCACATCCGTGCAGTCTGATCTGGATCCATGCTGTTCGCTTACTGACCCTATAACAAGTAAGGAAACTGCTAGCGAACAGCATGGATCCTGATCAGACTGCGCGGATGCGCAGGCTGGTCTGGATCCATGCTGGTCGCAAACGCACTATGTTGGCTTTGTCGTGACACGGCTCAATTAAGTATAGTTATCGAGATCAAATATAACTTACTTGGACACTCATGCATATTACAATTTCTAGAACTTTCTAATGGGTCAGTGCAGTTTGCGCCCCCATGGAAAGGTCCAATACATGTTCTGTTTCGCCACTGTATTCCTCCGCCGCACGTGGCGTTACATGAGTAGAATTCAGACCATTCGGATAACACTCCGTCAACTGAAAATGTACTTTTTGATTATACAATAATCCATTTTATTTCCCCTCTTCAACAATATAAAATATGATTTTTCAGCGTTTACAACACGTGATGTTCCTGTAGAAATCATTATTAGATCCTACCTTATCAATTAAGCCTTGTTTCATTTCCAGAGTCCAAAATTTATATTAAATGCATATCGCCATATAGACACGTTTTCACTTTAAGAATAAAACATAAGCTGTCACTGAAAGGAAGGAAGCTTTGACATAAAATCCGCAATACTTACGGATTTTCAATGAATTTTTAGGAAAGGCGTCGGGCATATATTATGCCTAAATACGATAATATACGTCCGACCGCCTTTCCTAAAATTTCATTGAAAATCCGCAAGTATTGCAGATTTTATGTCACAGCTTCGTTTCGGGGGGGGGGGGGCATAAGTCATTTGTTTCATTAAAACATTAAAAAATTAATTAGAGGTGTAGGAGAAATAGTCCAAACAAAGTTTACTAAAAACATCATCAAGGGCCTATAACTGTGCGAGAAAATTCATGCACAATATCATGGCACAATGCACTAGACTTGGAAAATCATGACACCTTGCAAACAATTTTATGAATGTTCAATAAAATATCCCAAGTGTCTATTAGAGATGAAAGAGGATGAACAATGTTAATTTGCTGAAAAATTGAGACACTATGCACACCAAGGCTTGGTGACAAACAATCCTGCAAAGTTTCGATGAAATCTCCCCCCACCATCACCACCAAGAGACTTTCGAGATGAAGCGCGTACAAGCTTACTCCCAAAATAGATCGTTTAGGGTTCATAACTGTGCCCCCTAAAGATCAAGTAGAAAATCAAGATACTATGCACAACATGGCGACAAACAAATACTGTAAACTTTCAATGAAATTTCCCAATGCCTCAGGTACTGGAGATGAAGCGTTAACAAGCTTATTTTACCTGTAAACTGACCATTAAGGCGGACAAGCTTATGACTCGAAAATGACCAGTAAGAGACCATACATTGTAACTAAGCAGTTATGGAGACAAGCATTGATAAGCTTATTTTACTCAAAAAAATAGACCATTAAGGGGCCATAACTGTGCTCAAAAATCAAGCAGAATATCACGAGAGTATGCACAACTGGACATGGTGACAAATATTCCTGTGAAGTTTCAATGACCCCCCCCCCCCGCCAGCGGTTTTGGTGATGAAGCGTGGACAAGAATGTTTTACTGAAAAATGAACCATTAAGGGAACACAACAGTGCAAAAATAATTCAAGCGGAGGATACTATGCAAACTAGGCATGGTGATAAACAATCCCGTGAAGATTCACTAAAATCCACCCCAGCAGTTTAAGACAAACTTATTTTACATGACGGGGAAAAACTGTGCTAAAAATAACTCAAGCGGAAAATCAAAATACTATGCACAACTATGCATTGTGATAAACTATCCTGAAAAGTTTCACTGAAATCCCCCAAGCGGTTTTGGAGGTGAAGCGCGGACAAGATTATCGTACAGACGGACAGTGCGATAACTATATGCCGCCCTTCTTAGGTGACTCAGAATGAGAAAAATGTTCTAGTCATTGTGAATAAAATACATTGATTTGTGTTGAAACATCTAGTCAAATCGAACAAAAATCAGTCGTATTACACCTTTAAAGTTTCCGTACAAAACCAGTAAAACCAAAAAAATATTTCTGTACTATTTTCAAGAATTGTTTTGATGTACTCAGATTTTTGCAAATTAAATTCAACGGCATAGAATTTTTTTTGTCATATCCGGTATCCTGACTTTAACATTTATTTAAACAATCAAAGCGAATTTGGTTTTATTCATTATATATATATGTATTAGTACACTAGTGCTATGAATAGTTTAAACAATGGAAACTGTCATACATAATTGGATTTAATACTTATTGTAAACCAATAAGGTCGCGTTTAATACTTAATGAAGAAGACTGAATTGTTGCATTTATCTTTATGAAAAAACTTACCTGGGCACTCGAACGTGTTACATTCACGTGTTTCGTCATAGACACCGGTGCAATTTGCTCCACCGTAAAACGGACCGGTACAATTTCTAAATCTTGACTGATTCCCTCCTCCGCACGTCACAGGGCATATTTCCCATCCGGTCCAATCCGTCCACACTCCGTCAACTAAAATATTAATTGTCGTTTAAGTATATTTATCAAAGACAACAAATTTGAATTACTTCTCTTGGGAAGGGCTTAATTGTATAGTATAAGAACTTTTGCCCAATCTTTTTGCTTTTATTATGTACATGTATGTATGATGTATATATGACTTTACATGTATATGATGTAAAAAAAAAGCATAACTCATTACTTCTCTGTCTGTATGAAACTGAACACAAATTCGTCTGCTTGCATTGGACCACAAACAACGCTTTAAAATTCACACTGGAATGGCTAAGTTAGTTATTTAACTTTGAAAGCTTTTTCCTGAGAGATAAGACTATCAGGTTTTTTAAGTCTTCATTCGTGAACTCGTTTGCCTTTATATATTTTAAAGAAACTTACTCGGACATTCGTGAGTATTGCAGGCTTCACTTGACATGTTTTGCCCAGGACATTCAGCTCCGCCATGGAACGGTCCCGTACAGTTACGTGACCTCCAGCGACCTCCACCACCGCACGTGACGTTGCACGCGCTCCAGGACGCCCATTCGTCCCATTTGCCATCGACTGGAAGAAGGAGCTGGCTTTCATTATTTGTTAACTACTTAATGTACGCTTTAGAATTAGAATTAAACAAGCTACGTCCTTGAATGAGAAACATGTTACAAAATGTACTTTATATAAATGTGTATCTTTAATGAAATGAACAATATATTAAATAGGACAAGAAAATAGAAAATGTCATAAACGAATGCCTTAGGCTTCATAAAGTTCAGCAAATGACGTAAAGGTTACCCATTATATTATTCTTTTTTTACATTATTTACATTTACAAATTCAAATAATTATGGAAACGTTCTATTTATATGGTTTGCTTTGTAACATTTGTGTAAATGATTGATATGGCACATTTAATTATACAGACTAACAGTTCATCAATAGATGTTATTCGAAACTCGTCAAATTTGGGGTTTTCCGAACTATTATTGGGACACAAACACACTTTTTACCGTAATAGTTTGGCAATGCGGTACTCTTAACAACAATTGCACTTTTAACAATTCAATTCAATGTTTTATATTTGCAAAAATCAGCATACAAAATGCCTTTGGCAAAGGTTGACAAACTACAATATAACAATTTAACAATATATTTAACAAGTGGTAACTGTAAAAACATTTGTTTGTACCCCCGGGATTAGATGGGAAAATCTACTTTTACCGTGTTCTGTATAACATTTATCGACCTACTATAATATTTTTTTTAAAAAACTCACTCGCTCTTTTACTAAGATAAACAGCTTAAGTCATTATAACTTTTTGATTTTTTGAAATGAGATTGCATGATTAATTTCATCTTTTTATAGAAACATTGCATGAACAGTGGACTATTTGCGCGCACAAATAAATATATATTGATTAATTAACAATATTGCTTAAGAATTTGGTCATCTTTTTAATTCCATGATAATAAAGGTTCAGTCCTTAAAATACCATTTTCTAGTGAGACACTACTGATCCACTATTATATAGCCGTTGATAGCTACATGTACATCATTACACGGCACAAATAACCATATCTGTTTTCAAAAATAATTAAATCAATACGTCGGTTGTTGATCCTGCAATGTTGATGCATTCTAGACTAGCTAAATTGATTATATTCAACATATAACATAAATTACAATACAATATTTCTATTTTCTTGAACATACATGTATACAGTTTTCATGAAAAGCTTGAATGCAATTCTACAACTATACTAGGATATACTACACACATATACAATGTACATGTATACTATATAATCGCCTAGAGCTAAAGCAACACCACGACACGTGCATACCCGGGCACTCGTGTACATTGCAAGCGCGTATTTCTTGCTCGGGCCCTATGCAGTCAAGTCCGCCGTGCAAAATGCCATAGCAAACTCGAACCCTAAGCTGCTCTCCGCCGCTGCATGATTTCGAGCAACTAGACCATACCTTCCAAGATCCCCATTCACCGTTGACTTTATTTTCAAATGAAGAATTATGTGGATTTTATAAAGAAAAGAAGTGAAAATGTCAAATTACGATAAAGATAAAATTTTAAAAAATTTGGAAAAATACTGAAAAAAAAAATCTAAAAATATGTGAGATTCAAAAGTGTGAATTTACGAGGAAAAAAGTTAATTAAAAAAAATAAAAATATTTGATTTCTTTTTTATACTATACCAGTTATATCTTTAAATATAACACATAAATATGTTATTTCAACATTGAATGCTACATATAATATCGCTAAGTTTATTTCTTTTCCTAAATTTTTCCATAAATGGTAAATAATAATGTAAGCATTTATAAAAATCTGACACGAAAGTTAACTATATCTGGAACCCTCTATGGTAAAGAAGAAAGAATAAATTTTCACTAAAGTGCTTAATAAAGTTCATTTTCATGTCGGATATTTTTAATAAAATGTTTGAAGACATGAAATATACAAAGTAATGGTATGTTATAGATGTACCTAATTTCCCAATGAAATTTCTAAAGTGAAAGCCACCCAATTTTTTACTTGTATATGAAATCTTTGTCCAGGCATGGTACTTGTTAAACACTATGCTCATAACCCATATAAGGTTAAACAATTTACTGCCAAAGCTTATGCTTACAAACGAAATGCATTAGAAACGCTTATGTTTATGTCCAAACGACGCCAGCAAACAATTTCAAGAAAAAAAAATATTCGTGTAAAGTAATAATATAAAACTGATTTTTATACCTGGACATTCATGAGTATTGCAGTCTTCGATTTCGTCCCATGGCCCTGTGCAGTTTGCACCCCCATAGAAAGGTCCATCACAATCCCTAGACCGCTTTCGTTTACCCGTGCCGCACGTGTAACTACACTCTGTCCAGTTGCTCCAAGCCTCCCATTTGCCATCAACTGAAGAGATTTAATGAATACATGTATATATAAAAATAAAATCCTAGTAAAATATCAACAAACGGTATACCTTCTTGTGAAGTATATGAAAAATAGTTTTCTTACCAGAAAAAAAAATAGTTTCTATTTAGATTCATTTCAATAGAAACAATGGATAAAATGAGCCGCGTCACGACAAAACCAACATAATGGGTTTGCGACCAGCATGGATCCAGACCAGCCTGCGCATCCGTGCAGTCTGATCAGGATCCATGCTGTTCGCTATCAGTTTCTCTACTTGTTATAGGGATTGTAAGTCAACAGCATGGATCCTAATCAGACTGCGCGGATGCGCAGGCTGGTCTGGATTCATGCTGGTCGCAAACGCTTTACGTTGGTTTTGTCGTGACACGACTCAAATGTTGTTTGAAAATTACAAAGAAAATCAGATTAACTTACTCGGACATTCTTGTGTATTGCAATCTTTAAACTCCTGTGATGGCCCAGTACAGTTTGAGCCTCCGTGCGCAGCTTCCGTACAGAACCGGAAACGACCGGAAGTCCCACCTCCGCACGTGACGTTGCATTCATTCCATTTCGACCATAGAGTCCAAGCCCCATCCACTGAAACGTACAAGTTAATTGTAATTTTGTGAAGGCTATAAATTTGTCATTTATCAATTCTAAAACGACTATACAGATTATAATATTCACTCTGTTTTTCAAGTTACTGAAAGAAAATGGACAAAATATGTTGTAAATCATACTTTTTGTTTCCTCCTTGTTATGTTAGGTTTTTTTTTAATACTCCTATCTTTCGACACGATAATTGTTAAGGCATTTATGAACAAATAAAAATGTTTGGCAGAAATATCCTTCTTTTGACTAAAACATATTTTTAAATGTAAAAATGTTTTACCATTTAAATCATATATTAATAAATAAAGAAAACAACGTAGATATGTTGCATACCAGGACAAGGGTCCGTGTTACAGTCTTGTGATTGCTCTGTAGGTCCGGTACAGTTGGCACCATCATGAAATGGCCCAAAACAAGAGCGCGTCCGATTCTGCACAGATCCACCGCACGACACCGGGCACGTGTCCCACTTCGTCCATTCCTCCCACACGCCATCGACTAGAAAATATCGTAAGTTGACAAGTATAAATAGTATTCGCTTTAGTATCATGTCATATAAGTGTAATACTTACCTTCTGGACGAAATGAAACAAACTTGTAAACTTATAAAAACAATATGCTAACTTTTACAAAGTAACAAAATGACACATTATTATTAAGAAAACGGTGTGTTCTTACAAGAAAAATACAACGTATCAAAATAATTATATAAATCCTACCATAAAGTATTATTATATCTAAAAGACTAAACCATTACCAGGGCACCAGCGCAGGAAACATGCTTCTACGTCATATCCTTTTCCGTCGCAGTCATCACCGCCATAATAAGGTCCGTCACATGTCCGGTTTCTGGAACGTGTTCCGTTCTCACATGATGTGCTACAAGCGGTCCACTCGGACCAAGGTTTCCACAAACCGTGAACTAAAATAAACGTTCGTTAAAATATTTCTTTTTTCTTCTTCCTTCAATCATTATACGCCAAGACTATTCGGTGACGTCAAACGTATACGTGTAATCTAAGCGTGTGTTTAAGCTTTTTGTGGAATTCGCTTACACTAACGCCATTTGGTACATACCGTTTTTTCTAATCATATAGTGAAAATGTTTAAACATATTTCTGTGTTTTGAAATCATACATTGTTGCGTATAATAAATGAATACGTTAATGGTCTCAAACGCAAGGTGTCTTAGGGTCTCTAATTTGATCTGATACATGAAATATGTTATCCAAGATACCTTTTCGGAGTATAAAATGACGTTTGCCCTGTATGATTTCAGTTTCCAGAATTATAAAGTGATAAAAGCAGCATTGAAAAGCTTCTTAGCGGTAAAAATGGTATAAAAGCCATGCAAAGCAAGAAAAGCCAACAGTTTTTGAACAGACAAGTCGTTTCTCACGGTTCACAAACATTTAAAGCGAGGAAGGACAAATTTAAGTGTCGCGAATACTGGTGACATTTCAATGTTAGTTGCTTTTTGTTGTTGTTGCTGTTGTTTGCAATGTATCAAAATTTGTTTAAAAAAATACATGAAACAAGGGTGTTTTTAAATTTCAAATTGAAATTGAATAATCACCAGTTTTCGCGGATAAAAGAAGAATGAATTGAAACATTTATATGTGTTTAAAACAATGGTCTTCTTTTTAAAGAAGTTTATTCATTTTATGGGTCAGGGAAAAGTGTGAAAGTTGGGATGGAAAATGGAGGTTCGACGGAATACCTGGGCAACTGCTTGAAAAACAATTTTCTGATTGATTATTAGGGCCTTGACAAGGGGCCCCATCGAAGTAAGGTCCGAAACACGTGCGGTTTCTGAAGGTTGTTCCTCTGCCACATGTTAAACTGCACGATGACCATTCGGACCATTCTCCATAGATACCATCAACTGCAACGAATAATAAATATTTGTCTATCTGTCATCTTAGCGCATGCGCGTAATTGTACACAATTCAAATGCTTCAGTTTAACAAGAGGGTTGTCCCTGCAGAAGCATCCATAAAAGGCAAAAGTAAAGAAAAAAAATAAGTTCAAAATTACAAGATTGATGCTTCATACAGATCAAAACAATTAATTCGAAATATAAAATAATTGATTAGTAGTATATATGTAAGGTACCTGGACACATGTTTTCGTTGCAGTCACGTTTAGCATCTGCGTCGCCGTCACATTCCGCACCGCCATTGAACGGACCAGTGCAGGTACGGTTGCGAGTTTGAACACCCGTACCGCAAGTTTTCGTGCACTCTGTCCAGTTAGACCACATTTCCCAAATTCCATCAACTGTAAAAGATTTAAACGGTTTATGTTAGCTGTTGTATTTTAAGACTGATAGGTATTTTTCAAGGTATAGCTGTCACAGGTTCCTTATTGTTGCCTTTATATTTGAAGTTATTTAGATATGCCATCAAAAGTACCGTCAAAAATGAGCCGACTATCCATCTGTTAGAATTGGATTGCAGATAAGTTTAACTTTCGGCACAAACATTTTGTATAAATATTTAAATATAACAACTTTTCTCAGGTATAATAATGCAATTTCTTATTATTAGAAACAATTAAAACTATTATTTTCAAAAATTGATCATGGTCATGCAGACGCTTATGAAAGACGCTTATGAAATCTACATATATCATTTGAGACTGAAGCGAATGGCAACTTGGTTAATGCATTGAAAATTTACACAACAATGTAGAAGTTAGAGGATAAATAGTTTGTTAGGAGGTGATATATTGTTAATAACGTGAAGATTAAATACATGAATATCCAAGCGTTCCTGAACGTCACATTAAAAGCTTAAAAATGAAACTTATATCCTACTTTTACCTATAAAATGAAAATTAAAAATAGATTATTTCATGAATTGCTGAGTCATTCTAAGACAAGGATCATAAGGTCAACATATGCAGGGTCAAAGGTTATAAAGAATTTGATTCCTCGATGTTTGATTGGTCAGCTTATAATACAAATCGACCAATGAAATCTCGAGATTTGAGACACAAATCAGTAAAAAAAAAGACTGAGGAAGAGAGCTGATAGATCTACGAACTTCCAATGTCTGTTAACCCGTGAAACCTAACTTAGATACAAAATTTTGGTTTTCAGTTCGGCGGGAAAGGAATGAACGCTCGCTTAAATGTGAATTAAAATAGAGGCTTTGAACGCTTGAATTTTCAAATAATACAATTGTGTTAGAAACATCTTCTAATATTCCGAGGTTATTTATACATATTGTTTTAATAAAATGCTTTCACATCGCTTTTCATATGTTATGTAGATCTATATTTAACAAACCCTTTTGTCTAAATCACTATTCTGAAAATAAAAGCTGAAAAATACCAAAAGTAAAACATCAATGTGAAATCAAATGAAATATAATGTACATATGAGCCGCGTCACGACAAAACCAACATAATGGGTTTGCGAGCAGCATGGATCCAGATCGGCCTGCACATCCGCGCAGTCTGATCAGGATCCATGCTGTTCGCTTACAAACTCTATAACAAGTAGAGAAACTGATAGCGAACAGCATGGATCCTGATCAGACTGCGCGGTCTAGATCCATGCTGGTCGCAAACCCATTATGTTGGTTTTGTCGTGACGCGGCTAAATTATAAAAATATGACTTAACAAATAGTTGAAAATAGAATTAAAATAAATAAAATACTATGCGTCGTAAAACATACAAAATAAAAACAAGCATAAAAACAGTCTGAAGTCAAACACAAAATCGCAAAATTTAGAGTTCATGCTCTTCATTAAATAAGACATAAAAACATGCTTCGACCTTAATACCTTAATAGAAGAATACTTAAAGTAATCTAAAATGCTATTTCATGCACGTATTTCTATATATTAATGCATTCATTTAAAAAAATATATATATCAAACACAAGAACACACAATTTGAAAAAAAAACCTTATTTTAGCCCTTAACTTGCTAAATCCGGAAGTGACTAGCCATCCGGAAGTGACTAGCCATCCGGAAGTGACTCGCCTTTGTCACATAAACAGAGCAAAGACAGTCGTCTGCACAATCATGTAGTCTTCCCAGGCTCTGTATTGATGGTCGCTCGATTCTTATATTATGTTATTGAAAAATTCGAATAGACTACTCCAAATTAAAAGCAAGGCGATTCAAAAATTTAGCAAGTTAATGGTAGAATGTTACATGCCATTCGAAACAAAAACAAAAACAATAAAAGGACTTTTCAAAACGTATAATGTTTTTTATGTAACAGGGCTTTACATGGATAAAAATGAACAGAATTTGTCTGAGGTGTACCTTTGAATCTTGACAACCATGAGGATAAGAAAGCTAAGTTGTAGAATTTCTGGTTTAAAAGTCATTGAAAATGGTGCATTATTACTATATCTTATCAAGGTGATAACCGTATTGTAATACTATCTATCCTTATAATTTGGGAAATAATTCAATGTTCTTGCCCTTTGACAAAAAGATATATTACGCTTGTATGCCTTTTTCCAAATTGTTGTTTCGTTTAATATTTTTTTTTTGTTCTTTATATAACACTTTGCCTTATCTTATTTTCAAAATGTGCGGGAAAAAATATATACCGGAACAGTCAAGAGTTCCACATTCCATTGTCTCCTCGTGGGCACCTTCACAGTCAGCACCGCCATGTTGTGGTTCATGGCACACCCGCTGACGTAATGATGCCCCGCCCCCACATGATACGTTACAATTAGACCATGACATCCATGTTTCCCATTCACCATCGACTGCAACAAGAAATTTTGAAAAACAATTAAATATTTTATGTATAATGTATATGATTCCAATTTTTCGGTCGATACTTTGTTACTTCCCTTGATTAGATTTTGAAAAATCGAAAACGAGGCTGACAAGTGTTACTGGTCAAGATTTGTCCTTGCAAAAAATTTTTTTCATACTATTTCATTTATCGGTGAAATCAATACTAAATTGAATTATTTTAACAAAACGAAATTAACGGTCAACCTATAAAAAAGGTGATAAAGTGGTCATTGTGCCGAATTTTATTATCTTATCAGTTATTCCCCATCATTTTTCATTATAACGACAATAATTTAAATAATATTTAAAGATCAAATTTTAACATACCCGGACAATTGTTAGTATTGCATTCTTGCCATTGCTCACTACTTCCGGTACAAGAATCTCCACCGTGAAGAGGTGCAATACAGTTCCGGTTACGACGTTGACTTCCGCCTCCACATGTCACGTTACATGTTTCCCAGGACGACCACAGCTCCCATTCCCCGTCCACTGAAATCATCCATGCAGCGTTCATAAGGGTGTTCAAACGTTCAACCGGAAGTTTGAACCCCAGTCAAACGATGCTTCCAAGTGATTTATTTTTTGATATTGTAAAAAATGATATGGAATGAGGGCATGTAAAAAGGGCGATCTGGTCTTGATCATGAAAGCGATGTGAATAAACTATGCAGATTAAGATCACGTCTACAGATATTACACAAAAATATGCTGAAACAGAAAGAACTGTACGTGTACGTTTGAACACATTACACGATCACATTGTTCTTTCTGTTTCTTTCTCCTCCACCAATACATAGCGTGCAATATAGACATACGAGATGTATACACAGAGAAAGGTTATATTCCTTCATATCAAACTATTAGTATACACATATTATACACTTCTACACAGACACACAAAGCACATATTACTACAGTTAATGACTTATTAGAATAAGAAAAGTTCAAATAACACATCTACAAAAAGGTTAATACAATGTAGTATCAATTCTATTAAAATGTTAACATTTAAACAAATATCTAACAAACTTTAGGCGTGACCGAAGCAGGGTGCCACATTCGCCTATTTTATTTCAAGGCATATCTTACTTTGGTCAGCCATTTATTGAATTAAAACATTGTTAAACTGGTGTCATTATATATTGATGTTTATAATCAAAATAATTGAATAAATGATATTTTGTTGTGGGCATTTGGTTTAGTTTAACCCTTTAAAACAAAGGCTTGCTTAAAGTTAAAGTTAAAATTATATTAAGATTTTGACACCAGGATACATGTTTGGTCTATCTAGCGTGCTGTAAGCTCTACAAATACATGTGATTCTCTATATAACCAATATTTACCCGGACATTCATGTGTGTTACAGTCTTCGGTGTCGTCTGTTGATCCCTCGCAGTTTGCCCCGCCAAAATACGGACCAATGCATTTTCTTTGACGTAGCTTCCGCCCACCACCGCACGTGACGTTACATTCTTGCCATGGTTGCCACGAGTCCCAAATTCCATCGACTGAAACGTACAAGGTACGGCACATGTCCTAATTTGCATTTTGCAATTTGCATTAAATAATCAAATGCAGTATTCTTCGCATGCACTTGACACATATGTGTATCATGTGCTAAAAATCGTTTGTTTAAAGTTTGCGAAAATGAATGGCATTTATTTGCGAATATCAATAACAATAGCAAAGTTCACCTGGACATTCGGCTGTAACGCACACTTCCTTCTCCTGCAATGGTCCCGTGCAGTTAGCTCCACCAAAATATGGACCAAAGCACTCCCGGTTACGAAACCGGGTTCCATTTGCACACGTGACTGAACATTCGCTCCATTTTTCCCATTCCGAAAAGATGCCATCGACTGCAAAAGGAAATTATTATGTTTAAGTTCTTAGAAAGGAACACCCTATTGTAATTATAATTAATTTTCAGATGCACTGTTTACTTACTTTTAAATGAATGATATCTTTGTTGAAAGTGATATAAATAATTCATGGATACTTTTTTTCAAACAAATACACCTCCTGTTCGATTGGATCAATTTAAATGCGAAACAATACATATTTCGAGCTGTTCGCTTTTAAACTGATTTTCTATATTCTGCTAATATAATATAGTTGTCCTGTTTTATATATTTTAAGTCAAATTTGGAAAGTAACATACTTGGGCATTCGTGCTGGTTGCATGCCTCGGCTTGCTCGGCTGGACCGACACACATAGCTCCTCCAAACTCTGGTTCGACACACTCTCGCGTCCGGTTACGCAGACCACCGCCGCACGGTTCGCTGCAATTTCCCCAGTTCGTCCACATCTTCCAATCACCATCCACTGATTGATTTACATAAATGTATATTAATTTGTAAAATTGAAAAATTATTGTTATTATCATCATCATCATCATCATCATCATTATTGTTATTTTTATCATCATCATCTTCTTCTTCTTTTTCTTCTTCTTCTTCTTCTTTATTATCAATCTTATTGTTATTATTATTATTATTATTACTACTTCTACACAATTACTGTTTGACCATACATTTAATTTAAAGTACGAAATATAAACATTTTCAAATTCATTTCTATATTTTCGACGAATGATGGGTAAATGTTCATGGAGATTTAGTTTGTTACCTGGACAGGAAAAGGTGTTACACGCCTCTCTTTCGTCAGCACTACCTTGACAATCTAACCCGGCATGGAACGGACCGTGACATGTTCTAGATCTGTTTCTGTTGCCATAGCCACATGTATGTGAGCATTCTGTCCATGCGACCCATTCGTTCCATATTCCATTCACTGCGGAGGAAATAGAAATTTAAATTATTGTAAATAGCTTAATCTTGGTTTTTAAAGCGGCCGTACAAAATTCCAAATATTCACCATAATATTGAAGTACAGAAACGGCTATCTAATGGATTCAGCACGGTTTGTGACAGACAGAAAAGCATACAAACAGGCAGAGAGGAAATTGAAAATCATCTCCCTACCCAAACATTACTTTGTGAGGGTCGACAAAATAAACCAACAAATTCTCATCTAATTGTCACAAATTGAATATCTAGCACTCTGTTAAACATGATCAATTAAAATAAATTTCTTAGACTAAACGAATATTTTATCATTGGAATAGTAAAGAAATCACACTACTGAATATTTTTGATATTTTAATATTATGTTGAAATTTGAGATAGTGTTTCGGCAAGGTTAGTTTCTATACCCGAGCACCCCGGGGCATTTTATATCTGTGCCATGTAGTCACTAAAACTTGGGACGTAATGTCCCAGACTGAACCATAAGTTGAATAAGGCACATTATACATGTAATAATAGCCGTAACGTTATTCACCTCTTATTTTAGATAAGAAAATAATTGAGCCGCGTAACGACAAAACCAACATAATGGGTTTGCGACAAGCATGGATCCAGACCAGCCTGCGCATCCGCGCTGTCTGATCAGGATCCATGCTGTTCGCTTACCAACCCTATTTCAAGTACAGAAACTGATAGCGAACAGCATTGATCCTGATCAGACTGTGTGGATGCGCAGGCTGGTCTGGGTCCATGCTGGTCGCAAACCCATTATGTTGGTTTTGTCGTGACACGGCTCAAATATAGACTGAATATATATTATGCTAAAATTTAATATCTGAAAATACTGATATTTTCTTATAGTTTCTTTATAAATGTGGTTGCTTCTTAAATGTAAAATAAACATCTTTTGAGTACACACACATATGTTAAGTTTTAAACACTATAGTATACACATTAAAGGTAAACACAGTATGAATACAGTGTCATTAAAAACTGGCAGGTTTTTGACAAGACTCATATAGATTAATCAGGTATAGGAAACGCATCTTTCCAAACATAGCTTTGCATTCTCTTACTCAAATTAGACATATTCAGTAACAATTCCCTTTATTTTAATGAATTTCTGCAATCAAAGTGTTTTACATAAAGATGAGCAGAGTATATCTTGAAGTTTTTATGAAAGAACAATAACTTTACATATAAAGATCTGTAAAATAAATCAAACACACAAATAACATTTGTTATAAAATTAATATTTCAAAATTTAAATGAAATAGGTGTTTTTTACTTAGTCACTACATACCTGGGCACATTTTTGGGAAGCAAGCCTCTACATCTTTGCTTTCTCCTGGACATTCAGCGCCGTTGTAAAATGGGCCAGTGCAATTCCGTGTTCTAAACCGGGTACCATTTTCACATGTGACGTCACATTCGCTCCATGGTGACCACGTGGCCCAAACTCCATCGACTATAACCAATCATTACCAGAAACATTTGAAACCAAGTGCCCGGAATCCTTGGTATGACGCGACTATATTTCAAAATTTAGTTCTCTTGTCCGCATTTTTTGTGCAACTAGAACTGGTCAGTCAAATGCTACACACTTATTTTTCAACTAGCTCTATGCGTAATGGTGAAACAACAAATCTAATTAACTGTGTGACACATTTATAAAATACGTGCTTGATTTTAAACATATATATCTAGAATAGGACAAACACATTGCTTTTTCTTATGCAAATATTTCACAATACAAATTGTGATAATTTACAATTTCACAAAACGCCACTTCTATGTTAAAATTGTTTCCATAGAAACCTAAGGTGCATTCTACACGAAACATATCTGATCGCCCGTGCATTCAGGCAAACAAGGGTGCATAGTTCTATAGCATGGCACATATGACAATACAATTTTGTACCAGGACAATCTATTGGCACCACACAAATGTCATGTGAGACGTTGGTACCAACACATGGCACCGTATCAGCACATGGACGATATCGTAAACGTTCCCCTTCACCGCAAGTGACGTCACATCCGCTCCACTCTCCCCATTCTCCCCATGTGCCGTTTCCTAGCAACGAAATATAGCAATATATTGAAACCATCCTTCAATAGAGAAAAGTATTTTATGGTCTCTACGAACGCATTCCGCAGTCAAAGCAAACCTAGCTATCACAAAATTTTGCCAGTGACGGTGCCTAATACAACAAAAACATTTCCATATTTAAAAACTCTATTTTGTCCATAAATCCCTTTAAGTTTTATCAAGCAAAAGCATTCACACGTGCAAATATACAATAAGAATATTTACTTATTCTCTATTTTCATTCATGAAGGATGGTTTAATATATTAATAAACTTCGTTACCTTTTTTCGTTATTTTTTGCCAGGCAAACCAAGTTTGAACGTTGTAACTTATGATAAGTACTCATTTGTGTAAATCCATAAATATCCAAAAATATATTCAAAAATAAATATAAGCATTTGAATAAAGAATTTGAATATTCATTTGATGTGATCACGTGACATGCGACAACAAAGTGCTCAGTTAATTGAGATTTTATTAATATAATATAAAACCAGTGACATAACAGTGTGAAATTATAAAATATACCACACGTAAAAGCTGGTACCCAGTGCCAGTCTATCAATCAGGGACTGGAACCAGTCTCGACAACAAAAAATAATTGATCTTGATAACAAAAAAAAGATGCAAAGAAGAAACACGTGCATTAATAATGATGTGATATCAATGTTAATTTAGAAAAGTGCACATAAACCACTTTTAACAAGGAAACCCTTCTAGAATCAAAAATTAAATTTTCTTTTGTTTTTCCCCAGAAATATTTTGTCCGACAAAATTAGATTAACAGTATAATCACTTTTATCGCAAACTGAGAATTAGTTAAGATAAAACAGTGCAGTATCTCTAGACGCTTGCAGAAATCATAATAAAAAAACAAACATCACTTATTTCGCCAATTCTTACATTTATCATTCATGATCGTATAGAACTTGTTTTGAAGAGATAAAATAGACGTCTTAAAGTGCATTCCGGTGAGTGAAAAGTCGAATTTAACATTTAATCATTCAAGCGCCTTGTCCGGTATGTACCGGAATTCGGTATTTAGTGTGGTGCTCCAACACCTTATTTTAGTCTCACTCAAAATTAAAACGTCTTTATGACATCATTCTGCAGACATTATGTGCATCTTTCCAAAGTAGGACCAATGTTGCTATACATGAATCGAGCAGAAAATTCAAACGATAATTAAAAAATAGGTTAATAAATCACGTGGTTTTGTTGGTTTGACAATACTGGTGAATATGAAGAAAATCTGGCATGAAAACACAGAAACGTTAGTTAAAAATACATAGGCTTGAACGCATGTTAGTAATTAAGTAGGTAACGTGCATATGCTTGTACATGTAGTTGAAGAGGTCTGTAAACCGTGCACTGTTTTATGGAAAATGTGGTCAGTCTTTCATGCAAATGTTATAATAGCAAAACGATTTGTTGTGTTGAACAAAACATGTTGAAGTGATGGTGTACACGAAAAACCCGTGAACAAAATGTCAACGCATAGAGCTCGAAGCTGTGTAATATAAAATAGTTCATATAAAATAGTTCATGTAAAGTAGTCCGTATAAAATAATTCATATAAAAATAGTTCCAGTTTTATATGGTTTATGTAATTATTTACTTGGGTAAAAATACATATTTGCATGGTAACATAGAATTACTTAATAATTAACAATATTCAGCAAATAAGTAAGTCTAGTGCCGGATATTTAATACAGCGAAATGAACAAAGGCACTTTAAACTTTCTTGTATCATAGTTTGGGGACCTTTCTGTTGAAAAAGTGTCAGAGTTAAATCGTATACATATACATGCACAGTGCGGTAACTGGAGTGCAGGTATCAGTTACCCGCACTCCAGATCATGCCCGTTGATTGGCTCATTTTTGCTGGGGTTTACATATTGTGACGGCAGAGAAAGGGAAAGCGGAAGAAATATCATATTCAGATGCTCGATCATTGGTTACTTTTTCCCGGGGTTTAAAATTGTGACAACAGGGAACGTGTTTTTATGTTTGACTATGATACAAAAGAGAAAGAACACCAAAACACTCGGCAATCTGATTTATACTCGGGGGCTACGCCCCCTCGTACAAATAAAATAGCCTCGTGTTTCGGTGCTCTTTCTATTACTTATTCCCTTTGAGGGATCCATCACGCATAAATGAAATTATGAGACACCTTCTGCTTACAATAGTATCATTAACATAATTTATTCAGATTTGAATTAATAACTGTACTGACACGAAGATGGCGATTTCTAAATTTTTGAAATTCAAAATTAAATGTAAATGCAACTTACTTGGACACATGACTTTGGTACAAGGCTTAAACTCGGTATCTTCACCTGGACATTCTGTTCCGCCGTAATTTGGTGGTGGATGATTACAATCACGTGTCCGTGTACGCGTTCCATTTTCACACGTGACAGAACACTCGCCCCATCCGCTCCATAAACTCCAGCCCCCTCGAACTATAAAAAAAATCATTGACCTTGAAACTACATATATGTTTATATTCATATATTTTTTTCTGGTGAATGAATAATCAGTACTTAACATAAGAAACAGCTTAATTACACTTTTTCGGTCGTTTCTTCACGTATATGAGTTTGCAGCTTCACTTGTTGGGCCACTGACCATCCACACCAAGCTGGATAACTTCCTCACATGAAAATAATATTTAATCCCTGGCAGAATTAGAAGACACAGCACTGTGAGGTAAGTGAATCGCTATTAATTGTGAAAATTGATGAATATTGTATAAATGGTATTTAATATATAAAAGGAACGTTTGTCAAAAAAGTTATAGGACAAAATCTTAATGGAATAGTTGTTATTGTTTTATGATGTTTTTTGTTTGTGTTTCTATATATTGTTTAGAAGGCCGCATTTAAAATTAAGATACATGTGCATTTTAAAATTATATTTTATACATGTACATATTTAAATTATATTATACATGCACATATCTTATTTTATTTACCATTGTATAAGTTATGAGAGAAGGGTTTTATGCAAATATATGTTATATAATCTCAAAGAAAATTAGTTGATACTTTCGTACTTTTCATTTCAGTTATATAATTCAGGAAAATATTTTAATGATGTGATATTTATTCTGTAAGGCAGTTTTAACATATAAATTTTACCATTAACCTGTTGGAACCATAGGTGGTTGCAATGTGCCTAGCTAGTCCAAATAATTGTACTGCGATATTGCGACCCTCCACCTACCCCATTTTTAATACAGAAGCCCTTAAACTTTTAATGGACCGGTCCACATTCAAAACATGACGAGTCCATTACAAATTAAGCATGTTATGGGGCTAAAGAACGCGCAGAACATCTTAAAACAGATCAAATCTGTAATTCATTGGTAGCAATAAGGGAGGTCTAAATTAACGGATAAAGTCAATATAACACAATAAAACATGGGGGAATTCTAATATCTTAGCTTGGTCATTAATTATTCATTTCTAATTAATACTTGGCGTATACAGATGTTTATTTTCACAGGTAAATGCTCTCTGGCCTTTTTGACTAATAAACATGTACATAAGTTGCATTATAATACAAAGGATAGTTGTTTATAGAATATCTTGTACAGATCAGTATTCTATTTCTTATTCATTTGGGATTTTAGAAATACGTTGTACATGAATATGTCGGCTTAAAAGTTGTTTTTTTTTCGGAAAATTGTTCCCCATATATAAACCATCCCTGGATTGACAAATAAACAGCCAACTTATCAATCACAGGTAAATGGGAATGTATGCGCATTTTTCATTAAAGGAACTCCACTGAGGTTCAAATGTCTAAAAACATAAAAATTTGAATTTCTTACATAGATCAGTTGGGACACTTAAAACAGAAAGATATACAAACATAATTAAGAAATATATTCAGAAATGAATTGAAAATCATACTTCTGTGCTATTCTTAGCTCGGTTTGAGTGAAAAGCGTTGCAACGCTTTTCAATTTTGGGTCATTCTTCACAATTAGAATTATGTCTTAAACCTCAGTGGAATCTCTTTAAAATTTATATAATGATAAACAAATCTATAAAATATGCATATAACTCCGATAACATACATGTTTTGTTAGAATCGGACTCAAATGAAAGTTGTCAAAGGTAAAAAGGATCTTTTTCATGTTTACGAAATAAGCATACTTGTATAAAATCTTAAAACATCCTGTTTAACATGACCTACCTCTACACTGAATACCAGCAAGTCTGCTACATTGAAGCACGTGCTCACGAGGGCACTGTTGAATGGTTTTCTCTCCGCCCTCACAGTGTAGTTTATAAATAGGACTGCCGTAAGTTGACGATGAGATGTCGTAATTGTTGTTTACAGCATCTGTATTGTAAATAAATTATTCCATTTAAAATGGAGGAGAGCCTAGTGGCTAATCTAACTGTCGCTCAGTCAAGGGATAAAGTGTTGAAACACTTCTAGAATAACGGCCACGTTCTTTCATTAGACGCTGAATACTTGTTAGTAAAAAAAGACCCTCCGGATAAGAATTTTTAAAAAAACATTCAATCTTCATCCTACCGGAGATGGAATACTTCATTTTATTGCAAATCAAACAATATTTCAAAAGTTATATATGTAAATGGCTACATATAACATTGTGCATAAAATAAAATATACAATTCTATTAATTCTTTAATTAGTTTCTGATTGAAAGGCGTAAGTTATCAAGTAAGAGCTAGCCTCAGTTCAAACAAAGGACACAGCTTAAGCTAGGAGCCATGTTGCATTCAAATTAAAACGTGTATTCCAAAAGGAAATCAGCGTAACGTAAAAATGTATTAAACAATATTATTAGCTTAACAAAGTGAATAAAGATGACAAATGAAATATTTATAGCTTTAACTTATTGCTTTTATGTGACAATGGAATCACAAAAAGGACAACTGGAATTACCTTTATACGCCCCTTGGAACCCTATCTGTTTGCACGCGACATCAATTTCGGTAAAGTTCCAATTATCGTCTGCGCAAATTGACATTCCATAGGCGTCAAGGTCGTTGGAGATTTGTATCCTGCCATCACCGTGCTTCAGTGTGTTGTTGATCGTCAACATTCCTTTAACATAAGAAAAAAATGTTTGGTTCCAAACTTTATTAGTAAATTCTAATCTTACGGCAGAAATTAGACAATTCCATGAAAATAATTTTAGAGGGAATTGTATATGGTATTTTACGTAACATTATCTGTGAATGAATGAAATAATTACATATTTTACAGGGTTTGGTTGTATTTTTATGATATACAAAATAATGTATGATTAAATATAGCATTTTTATGCTCTTAACTTTTGATACAAGAAAAAATTCTTGCTTAGAAAAAAGAAGAAGTTTATTCCGAACGTCTTTTTAGGACCAACTTGTTACCGTTGTTATTTTAAATCAGTGTCATTACAAACGTAAAGGTATAACGCTGTAGGATTGATTTATGAACAAAAATATGTTACTGTTTGTCTATTACATTTATGACAAGAAATATTTGAGGAAAACACTTTGAAAAACTAACCTCTACAGTTGATTCCTTTACACGGAGCTGTTTCTGTTGTGAAGCCAAGGCAGAATCTGTCTCTGCCAGGTACGCCCCCGTTCGAGCAGTTTCGGTACCTCTGCATAGTGCCTTGACCGCACGTGTTGGATGTGCTGCACGGGCCCCATTCAGACCATCCAAGCCAGCCTAAAAATGCGGATTTTAGTATTTCATATGAAGTACTATTTTTGTTTTGTAAATTTGAGGTGCATAGCAATGCTCAACGTAGACATTGTGGGTATAGTTGCTTTGATAATGTGTGACGTTCAGCGGAAATAACTTTAAAACACATGGTTATTGTAAAGGCCCAAAATCAACATAAAAATACCTTAACCTTTTCCCTTATATAAGCGTGTTTCGACGGCTTTTTGCCCCCCCCCCCTTTTTGAGGCCTCAAACAGTGAAAAAAATGTCCTATTTAGACCCCAAACACTGTTTTTCGTTTGAGAAATGTTGTTAAAAAAAGTGACCATTTTTTCGGCGCCGTCCCCCATCCAAATAATACATCAGGGGGTTGCCAGAAGGGGATGTGCCCCCTTCTGTTTGGGGGTTTGAAGGGGGGCGGAGTCCCCCTCATCGCCAAGAAAATTTTGGACTTGTGAGAGGCTTAAAATGACCCCAGGTTGATCATAAAGTAACGTGTAACCAACGCTGAAAAGCCTTTGACTCTATCTCAAATCATTGAGAAGTTGCAGCACTTTGAAATAAATTTTGATGGAAAAAATCGAGGCAAAATAGTGATTTTTGGCAATTTTGAGATGTCCCCTCGTTGCCATGGTAACAGGAAATTTAAGACTGAGCATGTCGTTACAAAGGCAATGGTCCAGTCAACATTTGTGCCAAGTTTGATTAGTATTGAAGCATTTTTCATAGTTTCATAGCAGTTTGAGCTTGTAAGAGGAGGCTTTTCAGTTAAAATGGCCATTTTTCACGATATGCTCATGGGGGAAAGGGTTAATATCCATTACCAAGTATTTTTTGGTGTATCTCATTTGAACCACAAATAATGATGTTTAAGTGTATAATGCTATATGTTTACTGCAAAAAGTTAAGTTTGAATTTTTTAAGAGAATACTTCCAAGATGTTTGTACGAAAGACATATCGTAGCTGAATAATATTTTGCTCCGGAACATTTTATTCTTTTTACGTACAATATTCATATGTGTAAAATCACAGAGACATTCTACGTGACAACTCTTTCGAGAATCGATCATAAGATTATGGAAACAATATAATTTTACTGTTGATTTATCTGAAAAAAATTTACATAAAAATTCAGATATATAGAGGATATTTGTTTTAGTTCAGTGTAAGATCGGAATATATTTCACCGAGTGAGCACCAAAAGGTATATTTCACGAGTGGCGCAGCCACGAGTGAAATATGAACCTTTGGTGTTCACAAGGTGAAATATATTTTGATCTTACACTAAACTAAACAAATTTTCTTTTTATTATATGCAAAGAAACGTTTTAAAAAGACATTTAACCTAATGCTGAATGAAAAGCGCGCCAAATAATAATACAACAAGACGTCATTTACGACGTCACGTCATTAAAATGGTACCCAGTTTTGTGCACGCTGGTATTTCACTGAAACAACGTAAGGGGCTTAAATTCAAAACAGTGAAATTATCAAAGTGGTAATTTCACTGTTTCAAGCAGTGAAATTACCAGTTTTTATATCACTGATATATTTCTATAAACCACCGAAAAGCATGTAATAAAGCTTTTTATTACATGCTTTTCAGTTGTTTATAGAAATTTATCAGTGAAATATAAAACTAATAGTTCACTGTTTGAAACAGTGAAATTATCAATTTGATATTTTACTGTTTCGAATATAAGCCCGTCAGTGAAATACCAGCGTGCATAGTACTGTAAAACCAACTTAATGACGTGACTTCGTAAATGACGCCATTTTGTATTATTATTTGGCACGATTTTCATTAAGTATTAGGTTAAAATGTCTTTTTAAACGTTTCTTTGCATAAAATAAAAAAAAATGTTTAGTTTATTGTAAGATCGAATTTATTATATTTAACCTCATGAGCACACAAAGTTCATATATCACTCGTGGCTGCACCACTCGTGAAATATATTATTGGTGCTCACTATGTGAAATATATTCCAATCTTACACTGAACTAAACAAATACCTTCTATATACACTTTAATATAAAGTAATAACTTACGTGGACAAGATTGCAGTGTACATGCCTGATATTCTACATCCCGACCATAGCAATGTGACGACGATTTCGTTTCGCCGGTTTCAACGTCCATGCAACGGCGGCGACGGGTTGTCCATCCAGTCTCGCACGTGACAGAGCACGGACCCCAGTCTTCCCAATCGTCCCATTCGATACTGTTCACTGATTAAAACATGAAATAATCTAGACTTGGATTCAAATATTTCTTAGTATACACGAATTATTAACTTAACTGCATTTTTACTATTCCATTATAAGCTTATTCTATGTTAATTTCTACAATATCTAAAATTTTTAACCAAATTTCAAAATAATAACAAAATATCATTCACTCGGTGGCATGGATTTAGATGGACCTTTCAACGCTCAAAAATATATAAAATCATCACACTGTCTATTGGCAAAATTCGAACATACGTTTCACTCAGCAGGCCCTAAATTTCTGACAAAGAATAAGAAATACACATGTATAACAGATTGTAAAAGGATATATTTAACCTACTTGGCGTCTCACAATCTTGTCCCATCCACTCCTCCGTACATATACAATAATATGTGCGTTCCATTTTCGAGTTTACCGTATCTAAGCAACGGCCGCCATTTTCACAAGGGTCCGTTGCGCATGGGCCAAGTGCTTCCTGTAAAAGATATTAAACTAATGTGTTACTTACATTGATATCTTTGCACCCACGGTACTTGCACGTCGTTGAGAGGCACATGGCATCGGCAGAAGATTTGGAAAACTCGGGATTACTGGTGACTTTGCGTTGCGCCGTATTAACGGGACGAAGGACCCTCATTAGACTATAGACTATAGATTGCAAATCGATCGTGCTAACAACATTACAAAAACATAATGAAAATTGGTGTATTGGTATTCAGAAATATGTTTTAAAAACAAAATACACGATACATTTAAAGTGAATTTACGGAATCAAAAATTAATACGTAGGCCTCAAAAAGTTCGGCAATGTTAACAACACTATGAGTGATATAGTCTTAGTGATATAGATTTTATTTCACGAAATTAAAATCCAGACTTTCATTTATTAGCATAAACTATTTGATAGAAAACATCTCAAATAACAAAAGAAAATATTGAAAAAATATAATATCACCATATTTCAACTGCATGACTAATGTAGTTGGGGCTTTTTTGCATATTTTGACCTCTTTTTTGGTAATTTATGTGGATTGTAAATTCAACGTGTAAATTATTTGTTCACTTCACAATATTTTATTTTAAAATACATTTTCAAACTGTTATGAAAATAAGCATGGATCTTGAAGCATGCTGCTTTAACGATATCATTACATTATGTTTAATGATGTTATGTCATTGAAAACTTTTTTCCTTAATTTTTATATACAGTAGGACGGGACTTTTTGAACAGAACAGAACATACTCTATATTTGGCAGACACAGATTACAAAATATTAAATTCTGCAATAACATGTGTGCAAATTTATAAACAAGAGTATCAGTAGTGGGAATGGTCAAAACATAACTAAGAAAAGAATATACATACAAACAAAGTAATTATACAATAATAATTGCTTATGGGTATTGTTATGACTAAATCTAAGCTGATCTTATTATCAAAAATAGTGTTTCAATTTCTTTGTTTTTTGTATGAATGGTAAATTATTTTCTTTTACCAATGTGATTCGATTGAAATGAAAGTTGTTACTGGATAGACGTGAAAATATAATTAAGACTGGTAGGTCTAGTATTAAAGAAAAACGGAAACTAAAATAGAAAGAAAAAGGAAAATATAATAAAGTATATGCGTGGTATTAAATTGACATTTCAATCGTCATATAAGCATTACAAAAGTATTGGACTGATTTCAGTTATAACAAAGTATAAATTATAAGTGGACAACAATAAAAAAGTTAGGAAATAAAAAAGAAGAAATTCCACGAAAGCTTGAAAACCCTCAATGAATAAGTGTTTGTACTTAAACAACTTTAAGCGTCTTGCGCACACACCAGTTACATAGAACTATATTCTCTTACATATGAGCCGCGTCATGACAAAACCAACATAATGGGTTTGCGACCAGCATGGATACAGACCAGCCTGCGCATCCGCGCAGTCTGATCAGGATCCATGCTGTTCGCTATCAGTTTCTCTACCTGTAATAGAGTTGGTAAGCGAACAGCATGGATCCTGATCAGACTGCGCGGATGCGCAGGCTGGTCTGGATCCATGCTGGTCGCAAACCCACTATGTTGGTTTTGTCGTGACGTGGCTCATATATACATGATATGTATTTTGAGTGTCCATTAAATTAAACAATGATGTTCACGTGATGTGATATCTTCCTTATTCTGTTTACATTAAAGTTTCTATCAAATTTAAAGGGACTCCACTGAGGTTTTTTAACATGACGGGACTGGAAATAATTTTTTGGGATTATAACTCCATCTGATGTAGACCTATACTAATAACCTATGTACAAAATTTCAGATCATTAGCTCGCTCTGTTTTCCAGAATAATTATTAAAATAGTGAAAAATGATCCAAAATTGAAAAGCGTTTAAACGCTTTTCAGTCAAATCGAACTGTGAATAGCACAAACATATGATTTTCAATGTATTTCTTAATTATAATTTATTTATATTTCTGTTTTAAGTGCTCATGCTAATCTATGTGAAAAATTAAATTTTTATGTTTTTAGGCTTATAAACCTCAGTGGAGTTCCTTTAAAGTAATTTATATAAGCCGCGACATATTACAATACATGAAGGGAAATACTTGGTAAAACATCTTGACACTGGAATTTGGAAAAAAAACAAAAACAATCAAACAATAAGAATAAATGTGACTCTAGTTTAATTATTTAAGTAAGTGGGCCATAAAAGTGTTTCCTGTTGCAAGGAGAATAATTCAAGTGCCGTTTGAATATATGAAATTAGATTTGTCAATAATTTTCCTTGAAGTTCTCTTTTTTGTGGTATTTGAGCGGGAGTTTTGTCATGGGTTTAAAGCTGCACGCCTCCAGATGAGCCAAAATATTTCAAGAAAATCAATATTGAGAAAATTGTACTAATATTTTAAGAAATTTGTAAAAACATTCAAGATTGAAATTATATTTTACATGTTATGTGCGGTTTAAGACTGATTTTGCAGTATTTTATCACCATATTTCTACTGCGTTACTAACGCAAATAGGGCTGTATTTGCATGTGTTGACCTTTTGTAACTTTCTTGGATTGTACGTGCTGATTGCTATATGTAAATTACTTTATTTGTTCACCTCACAATACTTTTCTTTTAAATACATTTCCAAAATTTTCATGGAAATTGACATGAATCTGGAGGCGTGCTGCTTTAAGGTTACCAGAACAAGTTTATCAGCGCAGTTTTTACTTAATCTTTATGCTATGAATATGTTATTTTACCAACATCTTAAAACTGAAGAATTCCGTCATCATTGCGGTGAAAAAAAGTATTACTTTAGTGCAGTAACAAATTGTTGTTTCATTTCTCCTTGCGTATTACGAATGCGCGCTCTGTTTAAAAACTGCACATTGATGATCGGAAATATTATTAAATACAAGTCACTTCCTTATATAAGAGAAACTATAAATTAGATAAATAATACATTTCAACAAAAGTTCACCAGGCAATTTGCTACAGCCAAATATTTGTTTTTTTGTGAGGTTTCACATCACACCAACACAATACAGGATATATGGAGACTTTCAAGCTTTACTGGTGCATTAATATACAGACACTTCTTCTCTTGATTGTTTTCTATTATTTTTATATTCAATTTATTTGCAAAGGAAGTTTATTGTTCTTATTTTCTAACAAGATCAGACGTGGACGACATACTTGCAAATAATAATTTATTTCAGGAAACAATTGTCAAGTTTGTCAAGATCTATAATACATATAGATAAGTTACGAAGAAAATACATTGACTAGGTCGAAAATAACTTGATTATATCTGCCGATAAAAGGCGTTAAACCTGTGTAATAATTCTGTACCATGTATGAAAAAATTCACATTTACAGGCGTTACCGCGAAGCACAATTCACGTACATTACGGCGTTACCTCATAAAAACGGCTTGAATCTCATTTTATCAGCTTATTTCAATTTTCTTTATCACCAAAAGTTTAGTAAATGTCACTTGCCTACCGAAAATCGAAATTATACGGTAAAATATGCATTGTTGTACTTATAAAGAGTCGCTCAAAACGGTGGTCAAGCCATCCTTTTCACGAATAATCTTGAAAAGTTAAGAATTTCGTGGAAATAATCTTGATGAGGGATAAAGAGTAATGTCTTCGCAGCCGTATGCGGCTATTCCTATTCTTCAGTTCGGTTATGGCCAGTTTACTTACCGCGTTGGAAATCCTGTCAGGTATCCGCCATTAATTGAACAATTCTGCGTTACTTATTGCACGAATCGTGCGTTATTTTCACATTCCGGCGTTACTGGATATACACAGTGTACAATGTATACAGTATGCATGAGAAGTATTAACGAGGATATAATATGCCCAAGTAAATTTAATTGTGTTTAGAGCACTACTTTATACAAAAATGTAGTTACTATATTTAGAATTAGAGCATGAGAAAAATATCTTGTAAAATAACAACTGTAAACAACTTCGATTTGACGAAATAAATCTATTTTCTCATAAACTTATTCTTATTTTCTTATGCGAGAAAAAAATCTTGAAAGAAAAGAAAAAACAACATTATTTTGAGAAAGACTTTCATTAAATCGAATTTCGCATTTATGATAAACGCATTTAAACAATTAAACTATGAATTGTTTATGATGAAATTTTACCTTTTCTATAGAAAAAGCATCACGATGGTGGTACCCGATCCCCGTACTATTTCCCTCCGTCACCAAACTCTGGCTGAATTCAAAATGATCACCATCGTTTAGCTGACACACGAGGAGCTCATGCTCGTAGTTGAACGACTTACAACGGGTCGACTTTAAGCACTCAAATGCACAATGAATCACCTGCTTTTTTGTTGAAAATTCGTCAAAAACATGTCCAACTAAACGTTGCCCGGGAAACGACAGAGTAACGTTACGCGTAAATTCGTAAATCTGAAGATCCGTGCTAGCTCTTGTCAAACACACAAGAGTCATACATGACAAAAATTTCAAAATATTAACAACAGTTTTCATTTTCAATATGTCTTAAGTGAAATCCGAATTGTAACTAACTAATGTGAAAAAAAGTAAATAGAAGAAGATAACGGTATGGTAATAAATCACAGATTAAGTCATGTTTCCACGGTTAATTTATCACTACTAAAGAATAGATTTTCTTTTATCCGAAATTTATGCGCAAATGTAATCAAAGGTAACCTCATTAATATTTCATGTCGTCGGAAAGTTAATTAGTAAGTGGACCAAGTTTTAGTCGATCAATGGCGAGATTTCGGGTAGCTTAATTGATTTCCGATTGTCTTATGTTATATTCTCTTTCTTAAATATCCCCTAAGGAATTATCGACAATAAAGACCTTGCTCTACAGATAAATAAATATACCTGATTAAAGTAATGTTCGGGATGTTAGTCAGACAGCTAGAACACCCGGAACACTTTTTTGCCTAGTACGGTTGTTCTGTTTGCCTAGTGCGGTTGTTCTGCTTGCCTGGTACGGTTGTTCTGTTTGCTCCGACTGAGCCGGCTATCAAAAGATAATACAGTAAAATCTGATCAAATGAAATAGCCGGAGATAGTTTGTTGAATTAATATTAAATTATATAAAAAGATAAACCAATGGTCTTTTGTACAGGTTTGACTGTATTACCTCTGGCTAGCCTGGAAGCGAATTCCAGCCTAGGCGGAACAACCATAACAACAGGATAAGGCAAAAATTGTTCCGGTTGCTCCGGCTATCAGGCTAACTTCACGAACTCATTACATTCACCGGTTGTCTTTTCATATTTTGTCTTTTAGTTTTGACTAAATGTATTTAAAACTAAAATATTACGAAAAGAAGAAATAATTGCAATCGCACTTTCAATTCATGCATATTACAAAAAAAATCGCACACGACATGTAATCATGAATCATTTTACTTTTAGATAATATCTTATACATTTAATTTCTATGCGGGTTTTATTTATAAAAATAATTCAGGTTCGATATCAGCCGGAAAAATGCCTCACACATAAATACTCTTTAAAGGTAAATAGGGACATTATGATGTCATCAATTAGCAACATGATGTTGTGAAACACACCATTTTAACGACAAAAGTAGAACCAAGAATCTTCTATTTTGTGTTTACTATGTTTAGTAGAACCTGTTTACTATGATAAGTAGAACCTCTTAACACATAACGGCCTTTAAATGAAGAGGTTTATTTAACAGTTGTAACAACATTGTAATTTGCCATTGCAGAAAAAGAAATAACAAACATAATTGAATGGGATAAGGGCCGTGACTTTATTAAGCATTTGGTGCAAATAAATGTCAATGAAAACAAAATATGAAATAATGTAATGAATAAAATATGAAAGACAGCTCCCAGCGAAAATGCGTGGACAGCTACATAGCAACGCAATGGTGCTGAAACTATGATAATAAGCGCTAAATATGCTAAATTCTGTTACAATACGGTCTGGGAAATGGAGTCGTATGGCATGGAAAATGCAGTAGAAAATAACATATTCAGAGCTAAAGAGAAAACGAGGCGAAGGTGAACTCTCAGAGATCTCCGTATATACACTTAACAAATCTTATAAGTGTGCATGTATAAATGGTCCAATATGTGTGTCATTTTTGGTATGATCATCCTGAAATTTTCATCAAACACAGTTTGAAAAGCCAAAAGAAAATTTCCATTCATAAAATTCAAAAGGAAACAATAAAAATGAACATCCCAAAAAATGGGGAAAAATGCTTTTTATAACCCAAATGTCAAAAAAAAATAAATAAAAAAAAAATTTTAAAATTGGGTTTGCCCACGGATTTAAATTTCATCATGGAGCGTTGGAAATTAAATTTGCCCTTAACTTTTCTGTAAATTTATTTTAGTTTTAATTCCTTTTTTTGGAAAATTTTTCGCATTTTCGTGGGGATAGTTTTTGCACAGTAAAAAAAATTTTTAAGAGGCTTCTTTTAAACCCCAAAAGCTTTTTTTCCCCATTTCCGAAAGTTTCTATCATTTTTGCCCCAAGTTTTTGGTAAATTTTTCTTTAACGTAAATGTTTTAAAAAAATAACAAAAGATATTTGGGCGCCCTGCGGTTTTTGAAAAGAATACCCCGAAGAAACTGCAATCAAAATTTTGTTTTTAAGACTAAAAAAAAATTTTTAGTTTGAAGTTTTATGCATTCGTTTATGATGGGCCCCTGAATAATTATTTGAACACATTTTTTAGGGGAAAAAAAGTTTTGTTTAAAATTTCCTGTGGTTGCAACAGCCCTTTCTCAAAAAGAGCTAAGTTTTTGTAAGAAAAATCTATAAAAATTTAAATTTAAACGATAATAAACTCCCATTGTTGTTTATACAGTCAACGTGGGGATTGTTTTAAAGAAAAAAATCACAGATTTTGGGATATAAAATTTTTGCAAACATTAAATTTTTTAAGCGCAATCCCCCTTTGAAAGGGCGTGAAAAATTTGGTGGGCGTCAAATAACAAATGGGAACACCACACCACATCCCCCAACCGCACACACTGAAAATTCCAGCATGACAGTGTAAATATTTAAGCTCTTTTTTTTTTAATGATAAAACATATAAATATGTTTGTTTATATAAATAGATGGAAAAAGCCGAATATATGGAGAGCGACAATGCAGGGTTGGACGTAGCAACTAAGCTACTATGTTCTAAATAACCATCCAAAAATTGACTGAGCTAAGCGGCAGACAAAGATTCGAACAGGGGGGCTAACATGTCTGTTCAACATACCCATTTTGTTAGAGGTTTGTAGCAAAGCCATCTATTTTTTTGAATATGTACGGACCCACACGTACATACTATTTTTGCAGCTATCGACAGACCACTAATAAGCCGTTTGGCCGAAAAGCTGAATTTTACCCTGTTCATATAAGACACAGTCAATTCAAGGACATGGTGAACGGCCGACCTTTAGGTCTAGGCCCCCTCTAACGGTTAAAGGGCGCCCGCCCAATAACACCAATGATAAGAGATGGCCAACCGAACGCGAAGTTGCAGATACGGGAGGCCAACCTAGAAGAAAAATACAATTTCTTTTTTTCCTTTTTTTTTTTCTTTTTTTTTTTCTTTCTTTTTTTTTTTTCTTTTCTTTTTTCTGAGGGATGGGTTTTTTGTTGTTGGTTTTTTTTTTTGTGATTAATTTTGGAAGCCTCGGGCTGTTAAAATAAAAAAAGAGTGTATAATCATTTTATAAAACAAAACCGGTGCTCACTCAAAAAAATAAAATTGCATTAGAGTAAAATCTTTGACGAGTGAAATAGATGACTTTCAAAATTAAGTTCAATAAAATGAAAGAGCTAAAGTCACGACGGGCGATTAGAACAGGGGGGGGGGGGGGGGGTTAACATGTTCCCCAAATTTAAAACAACAAAAAAAAAAAGGGGGAAAAACTATAACATCAATTTATTCGGAAAATGTACAATTGAGGGTTTTTCTAGGTTAAAAATTTGACCAAAAAAGGGGAATTTTACCCAATAAAAAGGCTAACGTTCGCAATTAGGGGCAATTTTTGCAAACGGGGGCGGAACCTTGCTCAGGCCCAACCAAACCCAAAGGGAAAATGAGAACCCCTGGGGGAATCCCCTTTGTCAAGGAAATAAACCCGGGTTTTAGGTCCGGGTCTTGCAAATTTTATCAAATTTTTAATTTTTTTGAATTTTTGAAAATTTTTTAAATTTTCAAAAGGGGTAAATTTTTTAAAAATTTGGGGCGCCAAATTTTCACAATTAATAGAAAGCCTTTTTAAACATCGTTTTTAAAGATTACAAGTTTTTAAAAACTGTTTTTTTTAATTTTAAATGTCTGGGGAGACAGTTTTTGTTCCAGCCCATGAAAATATACAGTGATAAAGTTTAAAACTATTTCCAAAAATTAAATTTCGGAAAAGGTCTCCCTTTTTGTGGTACCCTTTTGTTGAGCAAAGCCCGCATGGCTGGCATGGCATGGTTTTTAACAGTGGAAGGATTTGGCTTTACAACTTAAATATAAAAGGGCTTGGGAAACAGTTAAAACGTACAACAAAATTTTTATAAATACAGCAATTAAAGGGGGAGGGGTGGGGGGGTTTTTAAAGAACGTGTTTTCAAAGTTTGGGAAATTTTTAAGGGAGAAAGTGATTTAAAAAAGCTGTAGGTTTAACGGCCCCGGAATTTTAAAGTGGGCAGAGATTAAGGTGTAAACTTCAAAACCCGTTTTATAACGCTTTGACATGTTTGATAAGGTCCAAAGCAATTAATTTAACCCGCTAAATTTTAAAAAAACCTTATTTCATAAAAAAAGAAAAATAAACCTAAATTAAATTCTAAGCGGGGTTTTTTATAATAAAAGAGAATTGAGGTTCGAGATAAACCCGGAAAATAATGCCTACTACGATAAATAAAAATCTTTAAAAAAGGTAAATAGGACTTTATGAATGGGCAATCCCCCTAGCAACTATTGCTGGGTTGTGGGAAAACACACCATTTTTAAACCGACAAAAGTAAGGGGAACCCAAAAATTCTCTATTTTGTGGTTTTAGATTTTGAAGAAACCTGGGGGGACTATGATAAAGTAGAACTCCCTAACCACAGTTAACGGCCTTTAAAATGAAAGAGGTTTTATTAACCAGTTGTTTAACACATTGTGGGATTTGGCCCATGCAGGTAATTAAAAGAAAATAACAAAACCCTAATTTTAAATGGGGTAAGCCGGGTTTACTTTTTTTAACCATTTTGGGGGCCAAAAATAAATTTTCAAAAAGAAAAAAATTTTTGAAAAAAAAAAATGGAATGAAATAAAAACAATTGAAAGACAACTCCCAGCGAAAATGCTTGGACAAACTTTTTTATAGCAACCCCAAAGGGGCTGAAACTATGATTAAAAGCCTCAATATGGGTAAAAAATTGTAACATAGGTCGGGAAATGGAGTCGTTGGCCTGAAAATTTTCCGGGAGAAAAATTTTAAAATATTCCAGAGCTAAAGAAAAAAAGAAAGGGGAAGGGTGAACCTTTTAGGATCCCGTTAAAAATAAAGGGGAAAAAAATTTATTTTGACCGGGGCAGGCCCTCATTTTTACCGGGGGGAAAATGCCACATAATAAAGGGGTTTTTGAGGCCACAAAAAAATAAAAATTTTAAGAAAAAAATTCGCCCAAAGCAGAATAACCCATTTAAAAGAAACAAAGATTTTTTTTAAAAAGGGAAAAATAAAACTTTACTTAATTTTTAAATTTAAGATGGGAAGGGAAATACAGGATTACATTGTAATTATTTTCTTAAAAATGGAATTTTAAGATTGCCGATTTTAAAAAACCCAAAACCCTTATAAATTTTTGGGGGAGACTTTTGAAAGAGACATACTGGTTTAACTAAGGAAAAGAAACAAATTTTCCGGAAAAGGGTTTGGGAAACAAAGTTGCTT